TATCCAATATACCAAGGTGTTGTTTTCCTTGTGATACTTCCGTCAATATTTGCATAATAGGAAGATCCTTCGATTAATTCTTGTTGCATATTCGAGAATGTGACAAGACCTCTTTGAGCCACTTTGACAGTTCCAAATGAGGATCCTGAAGAAATGCAAATTCCAATCCATTTATATCCTCCTTGCCAATTTGATAATTCTGTTGATAGAACGAAATATTTGTTGTCTAATTGGTGAAGGTTGTTGTTGTTGTTGCTGTTCTTGGATTTTGGATGTTGTAAATTTGCATGCATGGCGGTGGGTGACAAATTTGTTGAACTCAATGTTGTAAACAACACTCCAAATTTGGCTATTGAGCTAATGTCGTATTGAAGAGTTTGTGGTGAAAAGGAGAGATGCTTGAACGGTGTCGAGCACACTGGATACTCATCATGTGAGAGAGTTTGTGTGGGTGTGGTACATTTGATGGTATAAAAAGATTTCATTGGTGGAGACACTTTTTGTTCGGAAGACTTTGAGGAACAGTGTTGCATTGTCAGCACGTCCAAAGAGTTCATATTGTCTTCCAAATATTCATACGTCAGAAAGACATCATATTCTCTGACACCTGGCTCGAGAACGTTTTTCGTGGAATGCACGAGCCATGCATTCGTGACACGTCCAGGAATGACTGTTGAAAAACTAGTTCCTGTCATAATTTCATAATTATTTGTCGTTGTCACGATTTGTCCATAGAGCATGGAAACAGATCCATCATGATTATTCAAACATGAGAAAATAAATTTTCCACCTAAAATATTTCTAACTTGTATATTGAGATCAGGTTTGTATCCATTCGACAATTCTGAAAATTGATAACCTTTACGACATGTTGGAATGGGTTGTGTGGAATAAATTTGAATGCCATTCAATAAAATAGCCACCGATTCAGTGGCAATGAGTGATAAAGTTTGCAAAGTTTGTTGGTCACTACTTGAATATCTATCGTCACGACTTGAATATTTTTCTTCCATGTGAAGAGTGGTTAGATCGACCGAGTAACACGAAATTCCTTGTTGTAAAGTGAGTTGTGAAATTTTAACTCGAGAAGGTTCACCATTTGAAGTGAAAGGAGAGGAAGAAGGAGATCCCTTGAATGAATCGATCGCCTCTAGTTGTGTTTGTAAATCAAATAAATAATATCGACACGTATTGTCATCGAATCGATGTGAAACAACTCCAACTTGTTTCTGAGAATCTTTAAGAATGATCGCCATCGAAGAGCTTGCTAAAATTCTTTCATTGCTCCATGCTAATTCTTCTTCAACAGAATGTTGCCAAGATGGAAATGTGTAATTATAAATTAAAATTGGATCCGATTGAAAAACATGTGACGTCTCGTTCTCGATCTGACCAATCAATAAATAGAGAAATAATTCTTTCGTTTCCGTATTTTTCACATGAATCATCATGACTGTTTGTTGAGATTCTTCCACATGATGAATGCAATGAATGAATACTTGATCAATGGTTTGTGGAATAAATGTCATGTTTTTGAAAATGTAAATGGGTTGTACATATTGTTTGCCTCCTTTTAGAATCCAACTTGACAAGATGACAGTACCATTATTGAATGATTTCGAATGAATATCAGAAAATGTCACATTGATATTATTTTGATATTCTGGTCTCACTACAAGAATAGAATCAAAATGAGGATAAAACGAAACAGTTCGAAATTGGCCTGTCACCTCTTGCGAGTAATTTGTTTGAACACTCGAATAAGAAAATCCCATTCCAAATCCCTGATACACATGTCCATTTCCATCCACTGAAACAGCTGAAAATGGAATAATTCCATTCGAAGAATCTACTGAATTTGATCCTCCCACTTGAAATTCATGAACGTCATGATTCACATAAATTGGTGACAAGACATACGCCAACACACAACTCAATAAACACAAAAACACCATATTCAAAATAAAGATCATAATATTCAATACCAAATTACAGCTTAATTTAAATTGAGTTCTTGTCATTCTTAATTGATTCATTTCCATTTCTACTTGATGAAGTAAGGGTTGAACTTCATTAATTCGAATATTTTCATAACGATTCGAGTCGTGAGGTTGTTGATGATAATGTTCTACTCGAATAGAACTACTTGTCGTCGATTTTGACATGTGGGGCAAAGATTCCGCAAATTCCAATGCTGTGGTTCCATTTCTATGATTGGCAGCAGTTTTCGAAGAGGAAGACAATTTTCGAGAAGATTTTTTCTTTTTCGTTGTAGTAATTGTTGTTGTTGTTGTTGGAGGAGGAGGAGGAGGAGGAGGATTGAGTAATGATGATGATGACGATGCGAAGGGAGTTGTTGTATTGGTGGAGCTTGCACTACTAGAAACAGAGTCACTCCGATTGCGATCAAATGTTCTTGGTGATGGCGGTGACAAGGAGGACATGAGAAGGTTTGTATTGATGATCTAACAAGAGTGTGCTGTGATGCACGTGAGAAGGTTTTCTAGTATTTATGGACGTGGTTGTGTGAAAGATGTTCTTGATTGGCGTTTTTGATTTTTTCTTTTGGTGGATGGTTCGTTTCTGCGCAGTTCATGAAAGGCGTTCGACAAATCGAGAGTGTTATTCGATAATAGGTGGGAGAGAATGTTGTTGTGTGGATTTTATTGGAATTGGATTCGGAAGGTGAGTCAAATGTCTTCATTGGAATCCAAAATGCCAACTCGAGTCGCTCCCGTGTGTAGATATATTCAAAAGGGATGAAGCAAAGATTCATCACATTCATTGTTTAATCATTGACCTGATCTTCAGAGATTGGATTATTGATAAAAGCAGAATCATCTAATTCAATGATGGACCAAAAATCTTTCAATAGTTCCATCACACGAGGAATCTTGGGAAGCTTTTTGGCGTTTAGTCTCATCAAATCGTGTGCCACTGCAACATTTTTGATGGCATAATCTGAATCGTGCGAATCCACAATTGGGAATTTACAATAGCGTTGTGAAAAGTGGGTCAAAATGGTTCGATAGGCGTTCATCTTTTCACCAACCTGAATGGCCTCATGTGAACATGAATGCTTCTTGTTTACAGCATCTTGAAGAAGTGCAGCTTCAAACGTTGACTCGTGAATCAGCACCGTGCAGTCTTTGCCAGCGTCAATGAGGCGTTGGCAAGGTCGTGTATCTCCTGAAAATACCACTTTCCATCCTTTTTGATGAGTCACAACAATACCATGTGCCTCACTGCATGTGTGGTCGACTGGTACATTGACCATTGATTTTAAGCCGAGAGGAGCCAAGACACGATCGATTAATATCTTATCTGGACTGTAAGTGTCAGGAGTAATGTTTTTCATGGGCACAAAATCAAAGGCAAACTTCGTATCGCTCGAGCAACAAATGTATTCGGAGAGAGCAACCTTGATACGATTTTGAGCAACAATGACCACCTTGTCGTTTGTCAATTCAGAACGTTCTTCCAAAAAGTGTGCCAATCCCAAGTGATGGTCTGCATGCAAGTGAGAAATCCAAATGCATTTTAGTTTTTTCAAAATGGCCTCTGCTTTTTCTTTTCCACATGCTCTGTAAATTTGAGACAATGTTCCTTCTCCACAGTCAAACAGAATTGCTCCACGATCGAACAAGTTCAATAAAATACCAGTCACTGTGGGAATTGTTAGCACGTGTGTTAATAATTGAGAAATAATGTGAAAATGTGAGATGAAATGTAACAACTTGCACCACTACCAACAACAACTTACCATTTCTATACTTGGATGGAATAGAAGAACCAGTTCCCAAGAAAATTATTTCAAATTCCTCATCACTACATTTCTTTAAAATATTGGCTTGTGGATGAGATTCGGTCTGATTCAAGTCACTTTCCTTGGCAACTCTTTCCTTGTAGTCATTCAAATGTTTGGCAATGGCTGGATAATTTTGGTAAAAGGTTTGCTCAACTTGTTCTGGATCAATTTTGTGAATATACGGTACTTTGCTATTGTCTATGCCTCTATATCGAACTGGAATAAGATTGTATCTCATTAAACTTTCTCCATATACCACTTTTGCATTTGGATGCTGCTCAATGACTTGTGATCTATTTGAGTCAGAGTCACTCTTGTAATTCGGTGTTAAACATTGAGTAAATAATTCCTTATCAACTAGACTGAACTCTGTAATGTTCGTACAGGAGGAAACAAATGATGAGGCATCCTTTGAGGAGTCTTCATTTACAATGACATGATCGCATTCCTTATGAAACTTATCCATAAATTCTCGATATTGAGGAGTTGTGAGAATATGATGAGGAACACAGTGTATCACCGATACTACCGTGCTCATGTACTTTTCAAAGTGTTTGTTTGACAACAAACTTGTCAAGTAATGCTCATTAGGGCAATTAATAATTAGTACTTCTGAACCAGGTGTTGGAGGACTAATAATATCTTCAGGTTTGATGGTACGTCCGTTCACTTGTATGGTTTCACCTTTGACAAGTCTTCCTCTGTCTGCTCCAACAATGCCAAGCAGGTTGGCTTTTTCAGCATCAAATTTACCTGGAATGTCTGCAGTCTTGCATAAAAAGCATAGACAATAATCAGCCATGGTTGGATGCATGTGTTTAAGCATTTCTCTGAGAGACTCATTTTGAGTAATTTCAAACTCGCCTAATGGTTGAATGTTCAAGCGGTTTTTAAAGCTATAATAACATGCCTCACTCTCCTTTTTTTGCTTTTTTTTTCATGGGAGAAAGGTCTGTACTTTGAGAATCACGACCGCTGCTATTTGATGACGAGGTATTTTTGTTGTTGTCATTCTTCTTAGTTGAGAAGAGAAAAATCCCAAGATAAATTTCCAACAATATTTGACGAGTGTTTTCTAAAGCTGCCATTAGCATTTCGTAATACGAATGGCGCTCCAAAATCACATTGCTGTAAGTGGGAGTGGTAATCTCCTCTTGAAGCACGGTCACTTTTTAACAGTAAACCTCGTACTGTAAGATTTTCATCGCTATGAAAAAGATAATCTTGGTCTAGTTGATGTTCCATCATTTGATTCAACATAATCTTAAAATGCATTGAAGTTTTCACAAACGGCCTCAATGATGTTAAATAATGCCACAAATTGGGAGGTCCATACAAGTGAAGTTTGTTGGCGGGTTGCAATTCGGAAGACGTAATAATTGCTCCTGGTAAACCTCCCAAATAGGTTGGTGAAATGTGTGGAATGAAAATATGATCCAAATTAGAGAATATACGCACTCCACATTCGGTACAGAAACGGTTTAGATTTTCGGAGCAATTGAATAGATATCTATTGTGAGAGAAAGAACGAAGTGGATTCGTAAAAGAATATTATCCACGATTAAAAATCATGGTGATTTGAAAAGGATGATAATGACAAACAAATAATTTTACAAGTCGAGCCGAGAGAAACAACACATAAAAGATGGGATTATTCTGAATACATACAATCCGAGAAAATACATACCTCTTTCCATTTGTAAAGAACGATATCGTTGTCTCTCCCTCATTATTGGGCACGAGCAAAATCTCGTAGAAAGTGTGCATATTTTTTACGACAAGGCTTTGAGAGATGTGTCGGCAAGGAGAGGACGAAGAAGAATGGATGATGAGAAAAGAGGAGCGATGATGATGCGTTTTTGAGAATGAAGAAGGGAATGGGGTGATGATGCTACTACTCAAGGTGGGAATTTTTTGTTTGTTATTGGTGTAATGGTCGTGGGTGGTTTTCGAGATGGAGGAGGGTGATGATTTATGGGAAAGGGCAGTGTTGGAGCTTTCGCTACTATGAATAAAACGTTCGAACGAACGTTTGCTTTTTTGCTGATGTTGTTGATTTAATTCCGATGACAAATGAAAACCGAATTGTATCATTTGATGATGGCTCGGACAGAGATTCTTGCCACTTTCAAAACAAAAAGTTTTACGAGCATTCACAAATTTTATCATTTTTTTCTTTCTGAGTGAGGCTTGCGCGAAGAATTGAATGTCATAATCCAATCACTGATGAGCTTTGAGGTATCTATCATTATTATAGATCATGTTGTTCTTCATTATGGTGTGCCTGAACTGTATAAGGGCTCATCGAATTCATTGTTTTCATCGTCGTCGAACAATTCGTCATTTTGATGCTGTTCGTTGTTTGGGCTATTCAAAGAATCAATGTCCTCAAAGGTTTTGAACTGTTTAAGGTCGTGTCGAGACTGTGGTTGTTTTGATTTGTTGTTAGAATGATGTGTTTTAGCAGAGGACTTGGATGGAATGATTGATACAAGAGGCACGTCTTCTTCGTCGCTGTCACCATCATTGTCATCCGTGAAAGAGGATGATTTTTTTCGTTTCATTGTTTGATTTCGAGCAGCCGAGGATTGCGTAGAAGCGTGTTGTTGTTTTGTGGATGATGAGAGCGGTACATTCTTGTTCTTCTTTTTGGCAGAGAGCACGGGAGTGTTATGCGAGTTCAACCTCGAATTCAGCAACAGGAGGGCATCTTCGGGTAACAAGTCCTCTCCGGTTCCTGATAAATCAAGGTCATCACTATTGGTTTTTGAGTTGCTTGTGGTTCGTATCATTTGACTTGATTTTGGAATGGGAGTAGCTGAGAGAACTCCTGTTGTCATTAAGGGTCGTGTGACACTTGAGGGTGTCGATGGAGTACAAAGGGGAGGACTCGAAGAAATCGTCGTCATGTGATCTTTCTGCTCATTTGAGGCTGTGTCACCTGTGGAGGCTATTGTGGATGAGGTTGGACGTGGTGGTTCACCTGCGGGCATGATGTTCTGGTGCTTTTCATCTTCCGTTAGGAGATTGGCTTTGGAAGTTGCAAAAGAATGTCCCTGCTGTTCATTGTTCATTTCTTCTTCTGCCTTATTTGAGCTGTCACCACTGAGATCCATTTCGTGATCATTTCTACAAGTATTGGTGGTGGATTTCTTGCAATGGTGGTCATCTTCGTTATTGTCGGTAACATTCTGATCGTCACTCTTCATTGTTGTACACATCGTTGGCAGGTCATGCTGCTTATTATCGGTCGATACAGAGGTAGGTTCATGATTTTTCATGAATGAATGCGTCTGGGGTGTGGTTGTTGTAGTTTCTTTCATCTTCTCACTTTGAGGTCTTTGTTGTATCTTTTCAGGAGGAGGAGGAGGCGGGGTAGGTTTAATGATACCGACCCCATATTTCAGGGCAACATCTTGAATAGAAGCAATGAAATCGAATAAATCCTCATCAGATAAACGGTCAATTTGCTTGAGCATAGGCACTTTGATACCAGTGGTGTGGTCTTCTCTCTTGGCAGTGACCTTAGGGTTTTGTTGCGACCATTTCGATAAATCTAACCCATTCAAGATTAATCCTAACCTCTTGATGAGTATTCTCTGAAAATGAGAGACAAATTCTCTCTCTTTGATGAGTGTCGTTTTCATGCATGATTGTTGGGGAGTTGTCACTGCGCCCGAGTTTACTGAACCAGCAGCACCCGACTCCAAGGCCATACAATACCGAAACAATTGTGATATGAGAAAGTGATTAGTTTCACTAAAGTTTGAAAGTAACTTGTTGAATTCGCTCAATCTGGTCAGAACGGTATCAATTTCAAGAGTAATTTCAGTAATTTGTTTGTACAATTGTTTTGCCATGCATTTCACGAGAGCAATGCAAGGTGATACATAAACGTTAGCAGTCGGAGTTGGATACATTCTTAGGGTGGAGGAAGTGATGGGATTTCCTGAATTTTCTTGCACTGTTGAAACCGTTACATATAATCTGGACATGAGATTAAGCATAGACATCCACAATAGTTTCAAACGGTGAGTTTGTAAGTTACATGAAACGATGGTTTTTGCCTCTTCCGATCTCAGGTATCGTCCAATCAGGGTCATTGGAATATTGAAACTCTCACATATTGAGTCCAGGGAAAAGAAGGAAAGAGCATGTTCTATGGATGAATTTTCATGATCATCCGAGGCGGAGTGTGTACATGGATGATTGATATTATTATTGTTGTTACTATTGTTACTAGTATTATTCTTATGGATGAGAAGATTATTTCTTCTTCGGAGAGAAGCATCTTTCAAGTCGGAAATAAAGCCTTCTTCTTGTTGCTTTTGTTGAGGTTGATGATTCATATCCATCAAAACTAAATGCCCTGTTTTTTCATTGAAAATTCTCTTCCTTCGTGCGAAATTTGGAATCGAGAGAGGAAAGTGGTTGCACGATGATGATGATGATGTGAAGTTATTCTGAAAGCGATGATTTTGCATTTTTTTCCTTGTTCTACCGCACACTCGAAGCAACAAATAGTCTCTTCATTCGCTAATTCACCATTGAGGATTGAACATCAATGAATACCAGTGGTGGTGTGCAATAAGTTACGTAGCCTTCAGGGATAATAAAAGTATATTTTGTTCTTTCGATCATCGAACCGTCATTGAAACCAATTTTGTCGACACATTACATGAAGGAGGTTGGTGTTCTCATATTGAAGATGTCCATAAATTAACAGGTAACGAATCAGGGATGGACATTTTTAAATATAAAAACATGTCCAACCAGATTGGGTTGAATTTTACTAATAATAATAATATTTTAAGACTATAATAAGAAAGGTTTGTTTTCGTTTCAAAATTTTAAGGATCATCGCCCTCTCACCAGTCAAGTCTCACTGTCAAAATGTCTAATGAATTCCACATCTCTCATAGATACTCCATGTTGTCAATTCTAAATCATTTAAATGCACCTAAAAGGAACATCTTGCTCTCATTTTCAATGTATTAAAAAACACCAAATTGCTAATTGATTCACGTCATGCTTCCTTCTCGTTCCATTTCATTCCTATTAAAAATTGCCTTCTTTTTGTTTCTTCTCTCGTCCACAAACATCATTTCTCTTCTTCATGCTCAACACCAATTAATCCAACTTTTCAAAGGACATTCTTGCAAGGGAAAACCCTTGAACCAAATTTACAGCGTCTCCTCCTCTTCTTGTCAGAAGATGGGTTGCTACTCTGTTGGTGAATCGAGTTATACCATTTCTTGTCCTGACACTCTTCCAAACTCACCTCAATTAGGTGAATACATGACAAAATTCTACAGTGATCCAAAATGTACTGGAAATCCATCGCGTGTTTTTATTTATAGATTGAATACTTGTATTCAAGCTTCTAAACAAAAGTTTGGCTCTTACATGTATAAGGGTTGTCAATCTTTTGTGACTTACAGTGATGATCATTGTCAACAAGAACTCGAGACGAAACCTCTTACGAATATTGATTGTTTTAAAGGAAAGAACATTCAATGCCTTGATGCTGCAATGAAAAGTAGTAGTAATAGTATTAGTAGAATGATTGGAATTGTGACCACATGGTCCTTGATGGTTGCAGTCTTGATGGTGATCGATTCCTTGTGAATCACATTGATTGGGAACACGAGATTGTTTGGAATACACACAAATTACACCACTATTTGTTCCTTGTTTGTCCCGTTTGTAAATGATACTTGTTGAATATGAAATAAAAGATGAAATAAAAGATAGGACATGATTGGATCTCTTTCTTATAACAACCATAAGAATCAAAGGATGCTCATGTTCTTCGACAAGAACAACAATATTGTAACCACATTTGGAGAACTAGTGGGAGATGATTATGCTTAAAGATTCCACAGTTTAACGACTTTATATACAATAATGATTCCCTCTGAAGAAAACCCTTATATTGTTTATAGAATATTCTATATTCAACATAATGATCCCATGAACTGATTTCATTGCAAACATCCTAGAAACATCCTAGAAACATCCTAGAAACACCAAGCATAGGATGGACCCCAACAGTTGCAAGTACATGGACATCCATAGATGCGACAAGTACCAGTGTTATAATCAAAGATACACCATCCTCCACATAATCCTTGGCTGAAATGAACTATTGTTCCAAGAAGTAAAACCAAAACCAGAAACACCATGAGAAAGCTCGTCTTCATTTTGTTGTTGTGAATTTGCAAAGATCAACACAATGTCAAGAGATTTTAAGGTTATTAAAGATTTGGAAATTTACTTTAATATCTTAATTAAAAATCAAAATTGTCATTTAGTTGGATTTGAGAAAAGTAAAATGGGAAATTGTTTTAAAATATTCAAAAGAAGAGATTGAGAACATTGGTTGTGAAAAAAACGTCTCCGTTTTTGAGAATAGGATTTTACATTTTCATTTGTTAAATTTATCTATAATTTTCATATCACATGGATGAGAACGAGAAGAATTGCCGAATCAGAATTAAAAATTAATATAATAGACCTGTGAAACACATTCTAAGGGGATTCATGGTTTCGTTGTTTGGTATTTAAAGTAATGAAACAAATGGGGTTGACTTTCGATGTTTGAAACGATTTTCTGCTTTTATTGTCAATTAGTCTTATCAGAAGATTCCCAAGTTTTAAGGTTTTAAGCAAGAAGGAGATCACAATGAAGGCAAGGAAGCCATTTGGCATCAAAATTTAATTAAAAATTATTGTAAGAGTTCGTCAATCAACCTTCTGGTCTACAACAACATTTGGTGACATTAACGGTTGACAATGTATTTCCTTATTTAAAGATGAAAGGAATTTCCAACTTGTCACTTTGGTCTGTGGAGTAGTTGGAATATTGCCATTATATTACCTGTCATTGAAGATGTCACTTATTATTAGTAAAGAACCATTTCATTTCAGTACTGAAATTGACAAGTAGTCGTGTGAAATAATCTAATTATGGAAGAAAGATTCTCTGTTTGGTGATCTTCATTCTCGATATGTTCCAAAAAGGAAAGTTGATTTGCTCCTACCTCTACTGTTTTATGATAACTAAATTAACAACAGCTTGTCCCATTCTCGGTCAAATGAAATCCAAACACAACTCTATCATCTCATTTACTGTTTGTTGGTGTCCTTTAAATTCCCTTTTCGAAACGCCATCTGTCATTTCAAATCAAAAAAAAAACATCTGTTAGTTAGACACAAAATGAAAGTTTCTATTCGTTCCAATCCATTCCTTTTGAGCTTTGCTGCTGCATTCGTGTTGCTTGTTCTCTCATCCACCACCATTTCTCCTGTTCAAGCACAATATGAGTTGATCCAAACATTCCCATCTCTCACCTGTAATGGAACATCTTTGGTTCAACAGTACAACATGACCTATTCTTGTAAACCTCAAAATTGCTCCACCAATGTCCCTCCATCAATGGGTGGATTGAGTACCACAACCACTTGCACCAACACTGCTCCACTCTCTCCAAAAGTTGGAGAACGCATGTCAATCCGTTACAGTGATCTAAAATGTTCAGGAAATGTAACACTTGTGTCTATTGTTGCATTGGATGCTTGTATTCCATCTTTTAACACAACCTTTGGCTCTTACATGTATAAGGGTTGCAATTCTTTGGTGACTTACAGTGATCAAAATTGTCAAAATATGCTCAATTTAGGTTCCACTGGTAGCCATGATTGCTTTTTTGGAACAATAATTAAGTGCACTACTTCTGCAGGCTTTATGGTGAGAAATAGCGCTGCAATTGTGATTTCAGTAATGATTGCTGTCATGATGATGATCTTTTCCATGTAAATAGGATCGACTGCAGTCACGAGAAAGAGATGCGAATGAAAAGCATTTCAAATAAATTACAACATTGTTGTATATCTTTATTGTTCAAATGTGAAATTTTGTTTACGAGGAATTGTGTGGAAATGTTTGCAGATCATCACCACATTCCTCTTAAACAACAAGCGTTAACGGACAACACTGACGAAATAGTTTGTAAAGAACTTCTTACTGTTTTTTCATTCCTCAAAATTCTTGGTCTTTTAAGTTGTGATCGAAGTTACAAACCCTTTAGTTTCTTTCCTTTCATTAAGAAATTGAAAACAAATTTATTGAAGTGAAATAAACTTGTCTGATTGAAATTCTTCATAAAAAATTATTTTGGTTGAGGATGTTATTTTCTTCCTTAATTCCTCGTAATTCAAAGCATAATTACGATAGATTGTCAAATAGTGAGGACATAAATGGTTCACAATGTCAAGTAATGTCTGTTCATGAAACAAGTCTGTCAACAATTCTAAATGCTTCAAATGTTTCAAAGATGATCCAGAAGCAAGATTTACCAAAAAATTGTTCATTGCAAAGAGTCCATTCGATATGCTCAAATAGGTTAATTTTGGAAAATTAGATGTGGATAAATAGGAACCATCAATTTCCTCAAACTTTCTAGCATTGGATGAATATGAAAATATCAGAGTTGTCAAGTTAATGAGAGAACCATCACATATATCTCTCATTCCTTCACAAGAGATTGGAGATCCAAAAACAAGTGATTTCAAATGATTCATTCTTGAAATATATTTGATATCCTTCATGTTAACATTGGTACGGTCTAATTGTAAATCAATCAAATTTGGTAATTTAGAGATGTGACACATGCAACCCGATCCCAAATTGTTGTTATAGAACTTTAAAAAAGTTAGGTTTAGAAAAGTGTCACAAAATTTTTGAATTGCATATTCAGAGACTTCAGAGGTTGTTTGTGATCTATAGTTGCAAAAATGTTTCAAATTATTGGTCTTCATATTACACAACTCAAGCAAACCATCATTGTCAGAACGAATTTCAAGATGAATCATGTTTTGTAAGGATGACAGGTATTTGTATGCTTTTAAACAACTCGTCCGACCGTCGAAAGGTTCGGCCAAACATAGTTTTTCAATTGAAGTAATCTTGCTGATATGCAACAAGCAATCATCGTCAAGTGTCTCACATGAAATTAATGACAATTCTTTCCAAGGAATTCCACTATTTAACACATTCATTATTCCTTCTTTACACAAAAGATGTCGACGTGAAGTAAAACAGCAAAGTGATGGAAACTTTGATGAGTCAATTCGTGGAACATGTTTGACAGATCCATCGATATATGGACCAGCAATTTCAACAAATTCAAGTTTTTTCAAATTTCTCAATTTGTCAGATGTCAACAAGAATTCAGCCCCTTCGTTTCCAACCCCATTTCCAATGGTAAGATGTGTCAAATTTTTCAACTTTGAGTTGGAAAGAATTAATCCAGCTCTTTTTCCAATATTATTTCCAATCAATGTCAATTCTGTAAGTCTCTCCAATCTGGTGCATAGAATTCTCAAATTTTCCTCACTCACTTCAACATTAATCAATTTCAAATTTGTGAGTGTTGAACAATGTTTTGAAGGAATATCTTTGGTGATGATATTGGTTGACTCTAAGGTCAATGATTCAACCTTTTTCGAATTGAATAATCTTTTAAACACTGATCGTTCAAATGTAACATTTTTGTTTCCAACCTTTCCATGGATAAAGAACTCGGAGAATATTTCATTCAAGTCACCTTTGATCAATCCACTCATTTCATTCAGAGATTGAAACATGAAATTTGAGGCACTGTAGTGAACAGAAAAACATTGAACTCCTTTCACTTTGGTCGTTTTGACAATTCTTCTCCATTCGGAACACACACCAGCAAATGAAATGATAGTTTTTTCATCAAAATATGGAATGATGTGATCGGAAATTATTTCTTTACTCAATTTCAAAAGAGAGGTGATGGTGTCTATCGGTTCATTGGAATCATGTTGATCCAAATTTTCATCAACGAAACAATAGGTGAAGAACTTGGACATTTTTTCAATTATTATTAATTTTTAGTTTTAATTTATTAAGGACGATGAATTGCTAACAAGGTGGAAATACCATGATAAAAGAGAAAATTGCCTTTGCGGTTTAAAATCAATGAACCTATTAATTCACGACCTAGTTTTAAAGTCATCCTTAATTATTTTAACAAATTCAGTATTTACCCAAATCATGATCTGGGATGATAAGTCCGATGAATTGTTGTTCTCAACCAAAAATTTGCATCAACTCTAGAACAAACAATTAAGATGGTGTCCATCCCTCATGTGAGCGAACTAAGAATGTTATTTCCAACAAATGAATCACACCTTGCAATGCGAAACAATCATTTACTGCACCTGGACATTGCTAATGATTGATTTTCGACGTCGGTGAGGAGGTGAGATCCTTGACTGGCTCGTCGAAATCTCTTGAGCATGATATTTCGCTTTGGCTATCAGACAATAACTTGACACAGTGAGAGGAGGAGGTTGATGATGGATGAGTTCCAGCTCCACTCGTACCCCTCACGTTAATCGAAGACACAGAGTGAGTATTCTCTTGAAGGGATTCCCTTAAAAAACGCACCTGTTGAAGCAATTCTTCTTTCTCCATTAACAGAAGATCATTTGCTTTCTTCAGCTCTGAAATGGTTTCTTGATGTGACACTTCCCGTCTTTTCAATTGTTTTTCCAACCGTTGCACATACTTCTCTGATTGAGACAGATTTTTCTGAGCTGTTTTTGTTCGTGTTCGTTCCTGTTGCAATTTTTCTTTCAGTCGACAATTTTCTTCTTTCAAAGAATCGATCATGGAATTTTGAATTTCTATTTGAAGTAGCAACTCTTTGATCTCGCTTACTGATTGGGTATGAATCTTGTTCGGCGAGGAATGAGTAGAGGCTGTGGAGTTTAAATAATCTTGAGGAGAATTGGTCAATTTTCGTGTTCTGTCCGTGAGAGGTTCATGTTGATCCATGTCATTCGAGAGCAACCTATCCAGTAAATTAGAAATATCTTGAGTAAGACGAATCCTCGTTTGATCGGTGATCTTTTCATTCTCATATCGTTCTTTGATTTGCTTTATCTTGTCTCGCAGTTCATTAATGACCTGTTCTTGCTCTGAACTGTTTGAATGTTGAAGAGAATGTCGTGTGTCTTTCTTGGATATTGTTATGGGTCGTATGGAGGAAGCACTTAAAATGGTTTGAGAAAGCTTGACAATAGGAGAGTGATCCGCATTGGGAATTTTCATGTTTAAGGTTGAGTTGATCGATGAGAGTTCTTCTTTGGTTAAATGACGAGACATGGATCGGTTGCCCGAAGATTTCTTGACCGGAGAAGGTGCTTCTGCCCGTGATAAATAACGTTCCATCTCTGTGACTTGAGAAACAAATTGTTCCTCAAGATTGTTTTTCTCTTCTGTTATTTTATCGAGAGCAGATTTGAGTTCCTTATTTTTTTGAAGCATCGAGTTCAATAACTCATCTTGCGAAACTGAAGTGATTTCAGATGAAGAAATGGGGCCCATGGAATTGCTGGGAGGCTTTGATTCTGTGCTTTCCCTTAAATTTAATTTGGGAATAAGGATTTGCAGATCGTCTTTCTCCTCTTCAGAAAGAGAACTGTCGAGAGGGTTCATGTAGAAATGTGAGTTGCCCGGTATTGAATTAATGCGGTTATTTTTGAAAGGAGAAGTTTTGTGTTGAGCCCCAGAAAAGCTTGAAACGTCTTTCATTTGTTTTTTTCGGTCTCCACTTCGTAAAATTGCAGATCTTACGAGGCGTTCAACTTTTTGCTTTTGTTCTTCCAAATCCTCGGAATTGTTTTCCACGGTTGAAGTTAATATTTTGTTTTGATAAATGTTTACATTTTCAACATGTTGTCCATGTCGAACATTATGGCCGCTTTCTGGAGCCTTTTGCCGAATAATGAGCTCTTTGCTCTCTTGATTTTCAAAATTATGTTTTGTATCCTCCTTACGGCCGTTCATTGAATGAAGCTCCACCAATACATTATTTTCTTCATCCTCCTCATAATCACCGCCATAATGAGCACGATAAAGTTCCAACTGATCCGAAAAATCATCCACTTGCTCATTCAAAAAATCGTTGGTGCTCCTTCCACTACTCGTACTGCTGGTGTCGGAATCGCTATTTCGCTCATCATCTTGCTGCTCATTCTCAGAAGGCACCACTGTACTCAAAAACCTCTTTGCAGATATCACTCCAAAAGATGAAACGGAGGTATCATGACTAGAACCTTCTCTCCCAGATAATGAGGAATTGATTGAGGAAGCAATCGAGCGAGCTGAAAGAGTTTTCATTTTTTTTTAATGTTTGTCCCTTAATATAGGCATTTACAAATAGAGATAAATGAAAGATTATGCTTTTGTATGAATAAAAGATTGAAGAAGGATGGAAGTTTTATTCAGCAAATTCTGGTACTCGGAAAGTACTCGTCATGAATCCAATAATATTTCGAGGACATGATGAATTTGTTTCCTTCCATTTTTCTGAAAATTCTCTCGTCGATTCACCAACAATCAGAACTGGAATAGGATTCAATTGTGACACTCCCAACATGATCAAAGTAGGATGTTCCATATAGTGGTGCATCCATTGAGAGAGCTCTTGACAAAACTCGGCATTAAATTGATCCGAAGGAAATATTTGTTGAAATTCTATGGTTGAGGAAGTTCTCTCCACGAGAGGATGAGGCGCTGCTAAATTCGATGAAAGAGGTTGTGGTGATTCGTTAGAAGTTGTAGTAGTTGGAGTGGCAGGAGGTGTGGTTATCAAGCAGGAGTAGGAGGAGGACGGAGTGGAAGTGAGAGGATTGTTCTCACCATTAAGGTTGTTCTTCAAAAGAATTCTCTTATGGAGTGTTCGTTCTGGTAATTTGTACAATTCTTCATGAACTCCCAAATAGTGACAAATGAATTCCAAACTAATTAATTGTTGTTGATTATGAATGGAGATGATCGATTCTGTACCAAATGGTTGATCATGATGATGATGATTCAAAGGAGGTAAAATAAGAGGAATGAGAGGTGAATTCACTGCACTTGGAGTGCTTGGATCTTTCCATGTCATTTTGTGATATTCTCGTGAGGTTTGATGCACACTCAAAAGTTCTTGTTGCAATTGTTTCAGGAGAATCATGTCTTGATAGGTACTTTTACAAAAATCAATGAAAGGATGAAACGTCATGGATGATGTAAGATCTTGTTGTTGTTCAGATCGAAGGTGACGACTTGATTCAATGAACAGAATTCCACATTCATTCATTTTCAAGCTCGATTGAAATACCTTATTCTCAGATTGGGAATTGGCAAGTTGGGATATTGTGACATTTGGTGAGGAGGTTGTGGTTGTGATTGTTGAGGTTGTTGTTGGAACTTGTAAATAATTACTTGTCCAATATTTGATACAATCGTCATTTTCCCACTGCATGACCAATTGATTTCTCTTGTGGAGAATCACGGAAGAGGGAATGGAGGACATTGCCATGCTAATATTCAAGTTCGACGAAATTCTAGAAGTGTTGGATACAAATTTCAAAAGTGAAGATTGTTGTAACTTTTCTCTCCAAAACATGGTCGTGAGAGTGGTCCTCAAAGTCGCATCAACATTATCATTGAAACCTTCCCTTTGATCTTCCTTTCGATTCTCTTCTTGACCATGGAGAATCAAATTCCATGAAGAATGCACTCTCCGAAAACGTTCGAGTTCTTTGGGACATTCCACAAATTGTAAAATTTGATAGATAATTTCGTAAGGAACAAGGCTGAGAGAGGAGAATGTTTGTCCAATGATTGGGGAGCATGATGGTGTCAACAAGGATGAACAAGACATTGCGGAGAATGATGATGAATGTGGTGTTGCTACTCTCTGTGCGGATGATGATGATCCGAAGAATGCGATTGTGACTCTATATATTCCCAGAAGCACAACAACGAGAGTGACCTTTTTTTTATACCTTTTTCTCTCTCTCTAAACAATCCATAACATTACACAAGAACAACAACAACAACAACACTTGCAATCAGAATGCGAAATTGCCGAAATCCCATTCCCTCAAAGTGATGATTGAGAAGTGAGAAAGCAGGTAATTTATGGAAATTGGTTGTCGGGCTGTATGGAGTTTTCTTCTCAGAGAGAGAGATTCTGAAGGGCTTGTTGAGAGGTGGTTGCGCACTTTCATGATCGCCCTCGCGCTGAGAATTCGAGAGAGAGGAGGAAGAGAGGGAACTTTGAAGTTCGACTGTTTCTCAATTCTCAGGAGAGACAATTCCCTTCTTCAACCTCATTCACAAATGTACCGCGTTAGTCTTTGTGATGTCAGCGCTGGTGATGAACGACGATGAACGATTGTCTCTCTCGTCGAACGAGGTCATTGTTTGTCCTTATGAATTTCAACAACACCAACAACTTTTCTTAGACCTATTTAAACTTTTATCCGATGAAAACACATTCCAAACAACAACAACATTTCATTTACAATAAAATTATTCTGTGTATATGGTCGCGCACATACACTCTCTCCTAATATGATTTTTATTGAGACTTGTTCAACATTTTGCAAATGAATTGTTCATAATCAAAGTCACCAGAATCTTTGGCACCAATTTCATTTCTCATTTGAACCCATTCTTGTTCTGTGAATTTCTCACCCCAATTGCACAAGGCATCTTTCAATTCCTTGCTTGGAATGGTTCCTTTTCCGTCTTCGTCAAAAGCACGGAAAGCTTCTCTGATCTTTTCTTCACGATCACTGAGAGAAGAAAATTTGATGTGTCAATTGTCGTCGTCATTGAGTGTGAAAATTGAAATGTTGTGAGTGTTGTTGTTGTTGTTGTTGGAAAAATGATTTGGAGAAGAGAGAGAGAAATGATCATCATCGTCGGTGATAGCGATGATGAATTAACATGTGCACAGGTCATTCATCATGACGGAGTGTATGGTTGTGTTGTGAAAATGTTTAGAGAAAACGGAGATGACAAAAAAACGAAGGATTATGACCAGTTTCGAACGAATGATAAACACAAGATGAAAATCATTAAAATTGTCCATCAATCAATCGATTGACCATCAAATAAAGTCAGAATCAGTCCACTCCTCAATATATTATCAACTTACGTGTTCTTCAACTTTTGTGAAAGAACGGTCAAGAATTCTGTAAAAGTGATAAAACCGGTACGAGAGGAATCACATTCTTCAATCATCTTTCTAATATCATTTTGTGATTTGTTCTCACCCAAGGAGAGGAAAGTCTTTTCCAAGTCAGCTTTGGAAACTTTTTGATCCTCGTCCTTGTCGAAGAAGGCAAATGCTTCCTTGTATTCCTTGATTTGTTGTTGTGTGAGTTGGTCTGATGACATTTTGTGGGTAATGTGAAAGTGGAGAGGTGGAAATGGGAGAGTTGTTGTTGTTGGCTTTTTTTTATGGGGTTGATGATTGATGTGAAAATGTCCAAATGGTGTCTGCAGACATCACTCGTCACCCATGTTGTGTGTTGACGTTTGAAGTGTCGTCATGTTTGTGTGGGACACCTTTGATAACAATACCTCAAATTACCTTTGATCTATGATTTTTATTGGACACGAGTAGAGAACCTCACATCATCATGATTTACCAAGTACTGTTATTGATAAAAACAGCTAGAGATGGACATCAGTGCACCGCAATTATCAATCTTGTTATGAATTTTATTTATTGTGAGGCAAATTATTGTCTTGATAGATCATAAAATTACGTCTTTGGAACAATGGTGAAAAGCTCAATATAACGATCGCCAATGTTACATCTATTTCTTTCATTGGCTGCTCTTTCTGCCTCACTCTTGGTTCTGAATCTAATGTAACAAATTCCAGTTTGACGATTTCTCTTAAAGTCCATCTTGAAGCGGATACTATCCTCCTCAAAATCATAACCATTGAAAAACTCCATAATTTCTTTTTCAGTTGCTGTGAAAGGGAGACCTCTCATTTTGAGGGTTCTCTCTGGGTGTTCAAAGAGCTTGTATTTGAATGGTTGTGTTGAATTGGAGGAGCTACCATTTGCGTTCGTGTTCATGAGTTGATCCAATCCATAAACTTGATAATTATTGTGATTATTGAACGAGTATTGGGCTTGTTGCATCATGAACATCATTGGATGATAATAACCTCCAGCGTAGGCAGGATTGTAAGAGCCATAATTGTTGTCTCTACGATGATAGTATGGATTCTTGCGATAGGTTGAGTGTTGATGTGTACTGTATTGCAAACCTACACGTGAAGGTTGTTGGTGTTGTGGAGCTTCTTGTTGACTTGCATCGCCAGAATTTGATGTCTCAAGAGTATTGACATCATGGAGAGTGGTCGTCTCTTGGGGAGCATTGGCTCCTTCTTCCTCTTGTTGTGGCTGTTCTTCTTGATTTTCTGTAGTTTCGTCCTCAATTCCACAAACGGCAAGCATTTCAGCTCGGTCACTCTTGAGAACTCTCACAGTGTAGGTTATTTCGTTGTGTTGTTCGCCAGTCTCATGATTCTCCTCAGTGGAGGTGATGGTGGTTTGATCTCTCTCGAGCGCTCGCATCAAGCTCTCCTCATCAACAAATTCAATAAAGGCTTCACCAGTCGAGTGTTCATCCTCACCAAATATGAGATGAATTCCAGCATCAGCAATGTTAAGACCATTCAACCAGTCAGCTATTTGATCCTCCTCAAAGTCAGTAGGAAGGCCTTCAATCTTGACAATAAATGATGCCTCTGTTGAACTTGTTGAATGTGTTGGTTTCAATTCGGATGGAGAGACAATGTTCTGGCCTCCATTCATCATCATGGTACCATTATTAGTACTATTTCTGTTTTGATAGTAATTATGACTTGGATAATAATGATTTCTCATAGTCGAACTTCTCGGATAGTAATTAGTAGAGGTCAGATATGGATGTTGTTGTGGTCTTGTTTGGTAATACTGTTGATGTTGTTGAATATAGTATTGGGAAGCTCGTAACTCTGAAATACTACTATGGAATAATTCAATGTAGCGATTTCTAATTTTTTCCTTATTTCTCTTGGCAGCTTGAACCATTTGTTCATGAGAAATAAATTCAACAAATACCTCACCAGTTCTCTTTCCTGTTATTGGATTAATGACGAAAAAGATTTTTCTACGAGTTGGCATGGAAGATTGTTGTGAAAGAGATCGTGCTGCTTCTTGAGTGTGTTCATCGTGGTCACGATGTTCTTGTGGTGACTCGCTCTTACTTTCATCAGCACCAATACCACTCTGACTGCTTCTGCTGCTACTACTGCTTTCATCTGTAGCAGAGTTGAGATTGGTAGTTGTTGTGCTTGGCTCCTCGCCACCATTCATGAGAAGTGAGGAGGTGGTTCCTTTGCCATGATGATGATTACCACTTGGAACTCCTGCATGAGAATGATGACTCTGTCTATAGAGGGGAGCTGTTGCAATGGTAAGTCCAGAAAAGAATGTTTCAATTTCTTCCTCGGTTGCAGAGAAGGGAACATTGCGCATCTTGAGGATTTTTGAGTTGTTCAAATTCTTCAAATTACGTTCGAGAACTTTTCTTGAATGTTCCATCTCATCCACTGTGCTCTTGAAAATCTCAATGTATCGATTGCCAAGATTCTTCTTGTCCATGGTCTTTCTTGCTCTCTCAAGTTCTTCATCAGACTCAAAACGAACATAGGCTTCACCTGTTGATTTTCCATAATAATTAAGCATGAGAAGAATGTCCAATTCCTTAACAAGTTCAATTGGTAATGTGTATTGTCTTACTGCTACTTGTGTGGATTGACCTGTGGTTGACGAGTCGAATACTGCTGCTGTTGAAGATGAATCCATTGAGGTCCATTCATTGTTACGAATCGTGAGGATTGATGGTTGTTGTTGTGAATGACTGGTTGGTGAGGAGTCTTGTTGTTGAGGAGTAGTAGAGGTGGTTGGTGAATGCGAGAATGTTGATGGCGATGAAGAAGAGTGATGTGTGGCAGATGAGGAGGTAGCATTAGAGGAGAAGGTTGCACTTGATGATGGTACTGAAATTCCCTTCAAAACATCAGCATAGGTTGGTGGTGAGGGAAGAGTAGCAGAAGTGTTTGTGGTGGTGGGAGAAGTTTGACTAGGAGTGTTCGATACTGCTGAAGCATTGCCTCCTCTAGAATGAGTTGAACCATTATTGTTGCCAGCATGAGCATTACTTTTCTGTGATCTATTAGGGCGTTTCATTGTGATGGAGGTGGAACTATTAGGGCTATTCTCAGAATGCTCAAGTGGTTGCATACTACTCTCAATATGGGACGGATAGTAGGTCATTGTAGAGTACTCTGCGGTCGCTGCTTGTATCTGTTCTTCCAAATTGCTGAGGGAAGGATCTCTCTTGGCAAGCTTAAATTCTGAGAAGAATTCAGCAATATCACGAATGGTACTAGTCCATGGTAATCCTCTAAGCCTTGCAACACTTGTCTTAAATTCGTCCGTAAGGGGAGAGTCGACTTGTTGTAATAGGGCTCTTTCTTGCCGAATAGTTTGTTGCAAGACATGAGGAGGAGGCTCAAATGAAGGTGAATGAATGGAGAGAGGCTTGGATATAAAGCTAGTCGTTGGTCGTTGTTGTTGTTCATTGCTGCTGTTGTTATTGCTGTTGGAGCTGGTGCTGCTGTTGGTAGTACTTGTAAGAGCACTTGAAGCATCAACAACGCCATTATGATTGAGCGCAATAACCCTACCATTCATGTCCGACGACTTGTCGTGTTCATGACTAGTACTAGTTTGGTTTTCCAATGATGAGGATGATAGAGAGGATGCTGCCCCCGATGAAACAAACATGGCTTCTTGTTGTGGGTATTCTAAAGTAGAGGTGGTAGGAGTAGTAGTCGAGTGAGATGAACAAGAAGAGGAGTCCACTTCACTTTGATGTACTTGCTTGAGGATGGTTTGTGCCATTTTTTCGCAATTCTTAATCATTGTGAAATTGCCTTGAAAGAAGGAGGGGATTGAATGGTTTTCCTTTGAAACTGCTGCAGTAGACAATGTTGTTGTTTGATAAGATAAATGGTTATTCTCAATTAATGTAAAGAATGGTCGTTCAAAGAGACTGTCAATATGAATGCAATGTCGTTGTGCAAGTTCCTGAATGAGTTGAGGAATATTGACGACACTGGAGCAATAGGAAAGTGTTGATTGATAGTGCTGGTTGTTGATATTGTTGGTGTTCTGTTGTTGTTGTTCCGTCGACGTTGAAAAGCAACAATGATGGACAGGAGAGAGGAAACAAGAATGTAATTTGCTTGGTGTAAGAATGTGGTCTGCCGAAGAGGATGATGATAATTGTTCGGATTGGATCGGTTGTTGTTGCAACAGAGTGAGTGATTCTCGTTCAATACTCTCGTCAAGCTATTATGTATATTGTGTGTTTTCAATTTCGGAATTTCAACGCGACGTTATTGTTCCCAGAGCAGAGTTTCAATATATTATTGAAAAATTCAATTATTTTGTGGTGGAAATTGTGTTCGAACAGAAAAGGCGATGATGACGAACAATATTGATTGAATGGTTGGAGATGGTGTGTTCGTGGTGGTACCGGTACAAGTGGTGGAGGTCGTTTTCAATATATATCGGAGTCAGAGTTTCACCGATGAAGAGGTTGTTATCGTTGAAGTGTCGTTCGTGATGGTGTGATTCGTTGAGTCGGCACAAAGCAATAATATTATTAATAACAAATTCAAACACACATTCAAAAAGTCACAACAACAATAATTGGTGTGAATGGTATTGTGGTGGTTGTTGTTGATGATGAATGTGAACAGTTGAACAGTATTTGTATATATACAAATATATAATATATAGGGGCAGGTTTACGCAGTCAACCCAGCACACAGAGTTTCACCACCAAAAGATTGAGCGTTTTGTTTCAAGTTGTGGTTGTTGTTGGATTTGGTCAATCAAAATGCACAGAATCACCAAAATAGTATTTTTCAAAATTATTCAATCAAAATTGTGTTTTCGGGGAATTTGTTAACGGAGAGTTGCGGAGAAGGTATTCACAAAAAACCACACAAAAAACATGCCAAATGTCGTCGCAGTGGTGGTGGAATCCAGTGCCAATCATACAATAAGCATGGCATAAACGCAAAAAGGAATTCATGAAAATATATCATCGCCATAAAATAGGAAAGGTGTTAAAAACACATCCGATAAAAAAGTAACAAAATATATCTCATACGTACCAATTGGAGTAATTCACAAAAATTAGAAACAAAATGTACAGGATAGGGCGTATAGTGTTCACATTGTAAAATTTCTGTACTCGACGGATCATATTCCTCCAAATTAATGATCAATCCCTTTTGACTGGTGCGAGTGTGAGGTGAGATACCATTCATGTGATCATTGGAATTTGTGGCAGCGGTGGAAGTGCTGCTCATGTGGTGATTTTTGATCGATTTTCCATCGTGATGATTGAGCGATTTTCCGTGCTCATTAGTCGTGTCACCATGTTGTTCCGAAGTGGCTTTCCGAAGAGCACTATTATTTGTTGTCGTGGTGGCGTCACACTTGACAATATGAAAGCACACCGATTTGACACCACTCGGAAATGATGGTGCCACACCCAAGTAGGATGATGGCATGATCATGGAATCCTCTTTGTGTCTAGACCCAAAAGCCACGATGAGAATCCACCATTGCTGCTGCTACTGTTTGTACCGTTCCGATCAAAACTCAAACATGTTTGCGGATACGAAAATTCAAATTCGATAATAATACAATAATGAAATGATTCTACAATATTTGAAATGATAGAATTACAATTCGTCAAGGATGGATTAAGATGAATACTTGTGGTTGGAAGTACATATTGTTGTTGATAGGATGATGGAAATAATTGGTGATGGATTGATGATGATGATGATGTTGGTCCGAAGGCCTGAGATAACGGAAATGACGATCTCCACAACCAATCCGAAGAGAAGGACGATGATGATGATGAACACGATGAAGAAGATAAAGACAAATATTCACTCATACCATCACCACTTCCACCGTAATAATAACAAGACGATGAAGAGTGACTATTCAATGATGAGGAACCATGACGGAGTGATGGTGGTGAATGTTGATGTTGCAAAAGCTCACCTTTGGATGTGATCGGATCGGTTAAGATACCTAAAGTACTTTCAGGAGGAGATGGTTGTTGAGTATGTCGTGGTTCGTGTGATTGATCGGTTAGAGAGGACGATGATGATGATACAAAACGAGAAACCTGACGAAGACTATTGCTTCGGGGCAGGAGAGTAGTTGTGGTGAGATCCATTCGGAAATATCTGTATCGCGTCTATTGTTTGTTTTTTGAGGTTGTTGTTGTTGTTATGATGGATTGGAATGCGGATTTTGATGCTGTTGGTCGCAAGGCTTCAAATAACAGATTTGTAATGGCGCCGAAGAGATTTTGTTGTTTCAACGGTATTTTTTTTTTTTTACAATTCAGGTTCTTTAAATAGAATGATTGTGACATTTGTTGTTCCAAATCATTTCTCTATGATTGCATTTCAAAGCTTTGAATCGATCGTGTGAGTGGATGATGAATAATAATGGGCGATGAGGATCATTGTGGATTCAAGTATCAGGAAGAAAATGCAATAAGGTAAAGATGTGACAATTTCAAATTATGCCAACAATAAAATATACGAGCAGTGTCACTTTAAAGACACTATCTAACCAAGTCAACTCTTTCATTGTGTATGATTGTATTAAAAATCAATTCATTGCGCAATAATTTTACTGAAGAATTAGAAATATATTGGCAATGTGAATGTTTTGAAACCGCCAAAAATTTACATTTTTCAAATCCAAAAAAAATAAGCCACAACATGAGCCGACAACATTTGGACGTTGATTTTGGGCGGGCATTCACAAACCTGACTCATGAAGATGATCGACCACAATCGCCGAGTGCCTTATCGGGTGATTCGGTAGGAAAACCAAGAAAATTGAAAAAACAAAAAGTCATTAAGAAAAAGGATGAAAATGGAGAGTATCGATATTACAATCCCAATACGGGCGAGGATGTAACTGAAAAAGTATTAAAACAAAAGGAAAAGAAGAAATTGGAAACCAGTCAAGTTTCGGAGAATATGGAGGAACGAATAGAGAGGCCATCTTCGTCTTCACATTCGCCTTCGAAAACAAATGACAAAGACTCTCCAGCAAAACCTTTGTCTAGGAAGAACAACAACGATGAGCGAGCAGAACGCAAGCTCAAAAAAAATGTTTCAGAAACACAACAAAGATCAAACAACGATGATGACAATGCGGATCGTGACAACTTGAAACAAGTCACAAAGAAAAATAGAAATGAAGAAGAATTAAAATTGCAAGAACAACATTCAAACAGAGTTATTGCCAAGGTAAAAAAAGAATCATCAGAAACAGAAATCATGTCAACGAAATACGATGATGATGAGCCTACCTCATCGGAGCAACAACAAAGCCAACCCAAAGCAAAAACTGTTGTTCCTCATCTTGGCTTACCGTCATCATCCAGCACAGGTAACTTGGACCCGAACAGCGGTCGAAATAAGACACAATCCAAAGAAAGTAATGATGAGGAGGATGAACAGCCGTCCGACAAAATCATCATTACGCCCCCTCCCACCAATAGAGCAAGATCCTTTTTTGCTCCTCACGAAACAAGCGATAATAATTTCGAAGTTTTTCAAGTGGAAAAACCACAATCCTCACATAGTGACGACAAGTCAATAAGTTCTTCTGAGAGATTACTCCATGACGAGGACCAGCAGATTGAGATGAATCAACAGCAGCAACGCGAAAGCTCACCTAAAGAGAAAAAAAAGCTAAGTAATAGCGAGAGTAGAAGAAGACGACGCCGTTCAAAGCCCAAACCTGAAGAGACAACAAATAACAACATTCACGACGATGTGACTGAACCATCTCGTATTTCAGATGGCGCCAAGGAAGAAGAGACCCTTTCACAAGATGCCCTTATACAACCTCCAGCCGTCGTTTCTTCAACAATGGATGACCGTATTTTGGATCAGGACGAAACGACAACAAACGGGAGCGGCTCCTCAACTCAATCATTGGCAGAGGATGCCATAAATTCCTCTCCAAAAAACAATGATCCAATGGCAGAGTTGTATCAGGAAAATAATAATCAAGCCAATGTCACAACACCAGCATTACTACCCGGATATCTTGCTTCACAATCGGACACTATTTGGAGTAGGAAAGGATTGGCTAAATTTTGGAGAAAATCTTTGAATTTTGTAAGGACATTTTCCTTTACGGATCCTCAACAAGAACCAACAATCAAATCAAACAAACACTCATTATTCGATCCCACAAAGCGCAACATTGCGGATAGAATGACGCGACCAATTTTAACATTGACCATTAAGGGAGCAGATATGTTAACTCTAGATGAAAATGTGGTGCATCCTTGTGTTAAAGTTTCGGTCTTGGACATTCTCACGGGTCAATATCTTAAAGCTGACTCGTTCAACGACAAGTCCAGTGAGGTTGTTTTACCACAAATGACTCTACCTTACAATATGAAAAAGACCAAAAGTTTGGTGCCAATATGGAATGATACCATGTACTTTGATACACTTTATAATCACTTTCTGAAAGAAAATGTTGTATTTATTTTTGAACTTGTAGATTTCAGTTTTGAGTAGGTACATTTGATAGCGATGCATTGCAGGACGTTCTAAAATTATTATATTTACATTGAATGTTATTTTGAATTTAATATTTATGAAATGATATTTTGATGGCCTCAATTTCATCCTAAATTCTGAAATGACATGAAACATAAGAAAAGGAGAATACAAAATAGCCTGGGGATTCTTAAAGCCTGTGAGCTCGAGTGGAAGAGCCAATGCCGGCAAAGACTTGCGGATTCGACTTTTCAAATATCCAAGAAAAATTCCTGGAATTTTCTCAAAAATTTTCAAACCACACTCGCCTCTAGTACAACCTTCACAAGCGAGCGCTGCCTTAAACACTAATGCAGTCTTTTCCACCAATGAGGCGTTCTTATTGTATCAACATAGACATCAGGCACAATTATATCCCTCAACTCTCTACATTGAGATGAAAGCAATGGTAAGTTGGAGAATGAATATTTCTGAGAATCGATTGAACGACTTTGGCTCGTGTGAATTTACTTGTCCACACAAAATATCATCGTCATGAATTGCAACCACATAACACCCAACTTACGCGTGTAACACGAACTTTGTAAATGATTGGATTTGCAACAACAGCAACGACCGCCACGAAAAAAAATATCATTTCCTGAACGACCCCAAAAACCTAATGAATTTGAAATTGGAAGATTCACACTCGAGGAATTGCTTCAAAATAATGATGAACAAGTGGTAAATATTGTACAGACTGAACAAACCAAAGAAAAGAAGAAGGAACAATCACTTCAACGACTCAAACTGAAACGAGATGTGAATGAGCCATGTGAAATTCCATCAAAGTTATTGTTTCAATTTGATGCTGGAGAAAAGGGATGTATTTGTTTGGAATTTTCAAAATCGGGTCAATACTTGGCTTGTGGATGTCACACCAATGAGAGGTATGGCCAATTGAAAATTTATGATGTCTTTGAGGGAACTCTGGTTGAAACGATTAATGCTCATATTGATCTTATTTATACCATTGATTGGAATTGTGACGATACTGAGATTGTCACTGCATCATCGGATGGTATCTGTAAAGTTTGGAATGTCGAATACGACAAGAAAAAGGCCTCCAACAGGAAACCAAAACTCATTTCGGCGATGCAACACCCGTGCTATGTCTACACGGCACGATTTCATCCCATCTGCAAGAAAATTGTTGCATCGGGAAGTTATGACCGTCGAATTCGAATTTTCAATAAGGACACTGGAAAGACTATCAAAGAACTCGAAGGACACACCTCTAGAATCAGTAGTATTGCTTTCGACAATGGTGGAACCAGAATGTATTCTGCAAGCGGTGACGGTGTGATCAAAATTTGGAGTTGCCGCCTCAGAGAGGATTCAACCTTAGACGATATTTCCAACTCGTTTGCCTGTATGAGAACCATTCAAGATACTGAGCTGAGCAAATCCACTCTCACCTGTATTCGCATTGATCCAAAATATTCTCAAGAACGTTTGTTTATTCATTCTCAGGACAACATGTTACGACGATTGGACACTGGCCTCAAAAACATTCGTAATCGATATCACGGTGTGAAATGTTTTATCAATGCTCAGAAATGTAATGTGAGTCCAGACGGCCAATACATTGTCTCTGGATCCGATATTGGAAGAGTTTACTTTTGGAATGTTGAGAGTGAGGAATTAATTTATAAGGAAGGAAAAGATTTTGGATTTGAGGATTCGCCAGTCTACGATATTGCATGGAGTTCGAAAGAACACATGATTGCCTTGTGTTCATTCGATGGTAGTCAACCCATTCGAGTGTATTGTTTTGAGAAGGCCATTGAGGAATTTACCTCAAAACCTCCTCACTCACAGGAAAATCCTCAAGGCAGTACACACAGTTCAGAACCTTTACACAAATTGCAGTCGAATCATTACACAAATCCATCCTTCTCTCATCACTACACATCGTCGAATATTCAGGCATTATTAACCAAACGATCGAATGGCTCGAGTAGCAATGATCCAGCAGCGGCACTTCCACTCAGTCCTTCAAGTCAAAGTTTTTTCACAATGCCTCAGTCACCCATTAGTAGTGGCAAACATGCATCACAAGTGCCACCGCCACGCAGTTCAACCTTATTATCGAGTGGATTCAATTTTGGATCAAGATCAAAAACACCAGATCCAATCAAGCTCAACCCTGATCATTCCTTGGTTGGGTCAAGGCCCAGAACTTCAACTGCACCAAAAGTGGAATTTCAATAAGACCGTTTTCTGATTCCCACAATATGTAATGCAAAATAAAGTCATTATTTATTGTACGTTTGTCATTCATGCATCGGGTGTTCTTTATTTTTTTAGAGAGGTATTGCTGTTCGTTTTAAAGGAATCAGTAATAAATACAAATAATAAATAACAATAATAACAGCAATAATCACGATCGAATACTACCATGATCCTACTTGAAAAAATCCAAAATCAATTTTTGTTGCTTTGGATTAGATTCCTTATTTGAGGTTGATTTTGAGGGGTTGGTGGGGTTGGTGGTAGAGTTTGCTTGTTTTTTGCTTGAATGAACTGGATTGGTCTGACTTGTTGACTCTTGATTATTGTTAGCACTCGATCCATTAACTTTGAATGTTGAAGTAGTCGATGTGGACGAAGAGTCATTCGACTCACTTGTTTTGTTTGAATTTCTTCTCTTTGGGGTTTCATTCTTGTTAGTTTGTGACGTTGTTGATATCTTCTTTTCATTTCCTTTTTTTCTTTTTAAAGGTGACTTTTGTCTCATCGAGTCCAATCACCAAAGAACGATTCAATTCCTCCAGAGAGGGAGAAGAAGTGCTTGGTGATGTATTTTGCATGAGCTCATCAAGTTTTCTCTTGTGGCTCGATGATTTGTCTGGAGTGGTCGTTGTTGTTGCTGTTGTCGAATCTTCTTTCATTTTAATTTCCACACCCGAGTTGGATCCCAAATGACACGTCGTTCTCATCGATTCCAAAATATCTTCAAAATTCTTCGAGTGACATCTCGTCTCCTCTATGAGTTTCCTTTTATCGACTTTATATTTAAATTGATGAGTAGCCACCAAATAGAACGCCACAACCTTAAAGACTGATTTGGAAAAATTGGCACCACTCTTCCCTTCAAATTTTTTCATCATTTCTTGTTGATACTTTTTCCAAAAGTCGCTCACAAGCAGCTCCAATTCCACTACATCCAAATGATAAACATAAATCTTCAAATTTAATCGGAAAGGTCACTCCCAATAAATTCACAGCTTCTTGAAATGCTCGTTCATAATCTTGTGGCGAAGAGGCCGATTTTTTAATGGCCAACTCTCTCGAAAATTGTGGAATATTCAATATTTTACAAGCAATATCCACACATACTGGAATTTGGCACAGAGAAAAGTTCGGAGAGAGACGTCCGGCACTCCGAGAGAGAGCACCTTCTAATCCGAATAAATAATCCTTGACCTTGGTGATGACTTTTTGAATACTACTCAGATCAAGGCCCGGAGCCAAGGCTGAAATGTAATCTTTGGTGACTGTGGCTACAAGGAAGCGACAAGTCATTCCTAAAGGTGATGATGAATTTTTTTTGGAAATGAAATTTGAATTTTTGTAACGGAAACATAACATTGGCGCCACTTGTTTACAAATTCAACAAAAAAAATACAACCTTTTAAAATCATAATCACGTGATTGAATCATGTCCAGAACAACATCGGAATCAAAAGATGAGATGAATAATCATGTTTGGATCAATGGTAGGTGAAGAAAATTTTGAAAACATTGTGTGGAAGTGAGATGAGCTTACCTTCTATGGTATTCAAAAAATCCAAAATGATTAGCTTGGTATGATCCTTTGGCCACAGTAACAGCCATGTCTCAATGTATGATGTTTTGTGATATCAATGGAGATGGAGATTATAAACTTGTGGCAGCAACTTCGGGAAAGAATCCATTGGAAAGCAAGAAAACAAAACAAACCCATCGACTCCGAGTCTATAAAGGAACTGGAATAATTAGCGAGAATATTTTATTAGAAGAACCTGTGGCCATCGCATCGTATTATACGGATTATCAAAGCCCAAAACGTCCCATGATTCTTGTCGCAAGCACCAACAAGTTATTTCTCTACAAGAATTTACAGCCATTTTTCAAATTTTGTATTCCTTCAAAAAAAATTGATGAAAAAGAGGCGGAAATTTGGCAATTCTTGAGTGAGGGAAAATATGACAGCAAGACGGCTTTCTCAGAGTTGGCACGACTTCGTGACCTTAATGCTGCTCTGAGCCCTCGAAGTTATGAATTGCTCTCGCTTACATCGAATGACGATATTCGGCAATTTATCGATTCCAGAAAAAATACGCCCATCGATTTTCCAAACATCATTACATGCCTTTCCATCTTACCAAAAGATAGGGAAGGAGAGGACGCTATTGGATGCCCAGTGATCGGAACAGAATCAGGAATTGTTTTCATCTTGTCTCCATCCGGTTCACAAATCATCAAAGCTGTTCAGCTTCCTTCGGCACCTGTTAAATTATGTATCGCTGGAAATTTAGATAATGATTATCGAATTGCAGCAGCCTGTAGAAATGGAAATGTTTATACCATCAAGAATGGAGAAGTGAGCGGAGTTGTTATAGAGCTCGAGTCACATCCAGTGACGATGGTAAGAATTGACAAAACTTTTGTGATTGGCCTCATGAATAGTACCATTCACTGTTTCAACACGAGAGTAAGTATTGGAAAGGAGCTTTTATTTGATTCGAGGAACGTTTGACTGATGATCGACATTTAAACAAATAATTTGTGAAATGCTTATTGTTTATGTGATCATGTAACAAACGCAACAGGGTAAAAAACAATATTCCATTTATTTGCCTGCTCCCATTAAAGACATGGAGGTGCTGGATATGAGAGGCCAACGCAGTGTAAAATGCGTCATGGTTGCTCTCGAAAATAAGGAATTACGTATTTATAATGGAAAATCTCTTGTGAATACTATTAATTTATATGAACATGTCGTAGGTTTGAAATATGGCACCTATGGCTCCGAAGTAAACAGCTTGATGATTTCATACCGAAGTGGAGGTTTAGATTTTAAGGTCATTTCACGAAAAGCCAGTCTAGAAAGTAAGACTAAAAGTGGACCACCACCTGAACAGGAAGAACCTCTTGACCTTCCTACCAAAACGTTCTTATATTTGGAACAAACAAAACGGGAAGTGGACTACTCATCAGAAATGCACAATGCATTCCAGAAAGATCTCGCCCGTGTTCGTCTCAATACTGCGCGAGCCTATGTGAAAATTTTAACAGATGGACAGGGACCATTGTCATACACATCGGGCTCTTCTATTCGATTGGTGGCCAATGTGCAAGGTTTAGGGCCAAAATTTAAGGTCAACATTGAAGTTCAGAATACTGGTAAGAAGCCCATCTCCAATTTGTTTATTATATTTGCATACGATGAAGACATTTATTCTTTGGAAGATGATGCAAGAAGGTTAAATTTACCCTCTCTTTTACCTGGACCTCTCTACAGATTTAGTAAGATGGTGAATATGTTGGATCCCTCGATTGCACCGGACACTCTTCGTCTCTTTGTATGTAGTAAGGAAGGTACATCACCAGTCATTACAGCAGTGGTGAACATGCCAATGGCTGAAATGGTGGAATTGATGTAGTGGTGTGTCAAGAAAGGTATCAATTTAAATAACCTTGTGTAACTAAAGATCTTTCTGTGCTGTTAATTAAACCAAACAGCATACTCCATATTAATTTATTATTTTGCCTCAATAGAGCTCTACATTTTCACTTGTTAACGTATGAAGGAACAACTTGCAATATTAATAGCAATAGGAGAAATTCTGTGAGTTTTGTGATGGGTTGACAAGTCTTGGCAGAAGAGGAAGAAAGTGAAGAAAAGAAAATAACAGGATTCTTTTGTGCATCATCTACAATCTTTTGAATGGCAAGAATTATTTCTTCTAAGGTCAGAGAGGAGAGTTCAATTTCAGAACATGGTTGAAGTGTTGTTCTCGATTGTTGTGGATGTGATTGCGTGTTGCTGTCATTCGACATTTTTTTGTTCTGTTTTGGCTTTGCTTGAAAAGCACTTTTCGAATTGAATCCACCGCTTGAATTGAATCTTTAGAGAAATACAAAATAGACATCATGCAATAATACTTGTTTCCATTTATTTCCTAGAGTTTTGAAATAGTTGTACATGATGATGATTCCAGGTAACTAGATGCATAAATAATTAATTGTTGTTGTAGTATGTGACAGTTTCTACTTTCTATTTACATAATGGGATGAATCAATTTGATAGTATTGAAGAGAACGCTGACTCGTTTTCGACTCAAAGGTCTCCATGAATGAAATATCATTGTTGGTAATCAAACTCCACGGTGACAATGGTGGGTCATTAGGTGATGTCATTGCTGTTGTAGAATGTGTGGTTGTGACAGTAGTGGTGGTAGTATTGACTGCAATTCGTTCATTGGTAGGCTGATTGGATGCAGTCTCTTTGGGTGCGCATTCTCTCTTCAAGTGAGAGAGTCCACAAATAGAGGCTTTAACATTGGTTCGTTCCGAGAGTGGAGTTTTGTGGTAAATTCCAATTAATTCCTCAACAATTCGGATCATTGTCGCTGCATGTGTCACAAGTAGAACTGTGGGTTCTGCATTCTCAGTTCTTATCTTTTTGACATTATTTTCAACATTGTAAAAAGTTCCTCTCACTCTGCGAATTAAGTCATACATCAGTTCCATTGTATTCTTCTCCGTAAAATAACTGATATAGTTTTGAGGATTAAGAGAAAAATAGAGCCCCTCCAAATTCAACTCCTCATTACAAAATTTGTCTACCATAAACTTGCTTAAAAATGGAAATTCCAGTCTAATCTGATCAATGTTTGGAGGCATCATATCCAGTGTCCATTTTCGTTTCAAACCATAAAATTCCATCAGTCCAAAGTCAATGTAAACTTCAATATTAAACTTTTTCCCATCCCTCTCACTTTCCTCCGAAATACTTTTGACAATTTGCTCGGTTGTTTGAAGGCATCTATGAAAAGGTGAGGTGTATATCTGGAGTGTTTTTGAAACGTTTTCATCACAGGAATTAGTGAATTGTGCTTGCTCCACTTTTTTAACAAGATATTTGAGGTAAAAGTTTTGTCCAAATAATTTAGCACACAGCCGACCTCTTTCTGTTAAAGGTGGATCTGCATCATAATCCCCATTCACGTCTATCGGTGTGCTTGGTGTTTCCGCTGAGGAAGCCGATGAGGGAGGTGATGTTGGTGAGGCAAGTCCATGAAGACCAGTTCCATACTTGATCAATTGAGAGGTCTTCTCTCCGTGCCGAGTGACAAACAATTCTTTCAGGGATGGAATGGTGTATTGTGGATAATGAATGGTGAGATTTTGTTGGACAGAAGCAGCAGTAGTTATTGACCTGCCAGTTGTAGTAGTAGTAGTAGTAGTTGTAGAGCCGCCGTTACCTGATGCAACACCTTGTGACTGTGTGGGTAGCACCATGTTTGGCCATGATGATGAAATAACTGGTGGTTGCTGCTGAAACTCCAACAGTGACGTTAATGAAGAGGTGGAAGAATTTGAGAGGGTACTACAAGTAGTGCCAGTTGGTGATGAGACCAATGAATTGAGCGTGCTTGAGCAAGTATCGGAGATGCACGTTGTATGGTCCTGGAGGTGGTGGTGGTGACTATTGGAATTTTCAATACATGATGAATCTGATGATGACGACAATGATGGTGGATGGATGATATCCCTGTCATGGTGGTGATGATGGTGATGAGAGAAGTAATTGCCTCCTGTACTAGTAGTTGTGTTCTGAACGTTTTGGTTGCTGCTGTTGTTGTTGTTGGTATTAGAATGTAGAGCAACGGAGGATGATGTTGATCTATTTCTGGTGGAAATAACCGGCGGTGAGCAAAGGTCATTCGTTGTGTATTTGTGGTGATGTAGTTGAGTCGGTGTGGTGACAAACCGAGAGGACTCGTTTTCATTTCCGTTCGTGTGAATGGATTGATTCATGTTGTGTGCTTGAGTAGGCTGATGATGGAAATGATAATGACCGTTATGATTCGTGGTGGAGCTACTATTACTTGAACCGCTGGTGCTGCAACTACTCTCAGATTGTCTTTTTGTAGGAATAATAATCAATGAATCCTCGTCCTCCAAAATGGTGGTTGGAGGCATGTCCATCATCATAGAGAGAAAAAGGCTGTTTGAGGGAAAAGGTGAGGGAATATTGAGAGGGAATATACTTCTGCTGCTGCTGGTGATGATGATGATGATGATGATTTTTGTTTCCAAATCTCGTGTGCCACCAACCAACCAACCAACCAACAAAATAATAACAACAACGTGATGAGCGATGGAAAAGACTCTTCGGGTCAATTCTGTTGTTATTGGTAACTATTATTACTCTTTGACAACAATGGGGTTTTAGAAATTATTTGGTGATGACAAGGATGAGAAAGAGAGCTTCTGGACCGAGTAGTCGTCTTTTTGTCCCAATGTAAACAAAAATTAACGTTGAATAATTTTTTTTTCTCTCGACTCTGGTGTGAATCATCCTCTCTGAATCATCTCTTTCTCGTTGATTTGGATTAAATTGAGAATCAACTCCCATTTATATCCAAATGGTGCTTGCTTTGGCCATCATGATCTTCTCACAAATGAATGAACAACCCTGGTCACCTCCGTTTGATTTCAAACCCTTAGAATCAATCCGAATAATTCACACGCGAACACAATAAAAATAGCAAACTTTAAGGGAGATCACGTACAATCCAATCTGAGATTAACCCTTCTTCCAAAATTTGACACAACCACTGAAAGCGCATTCACGCCAACCCAAAAAAATATGTCAGAACCGTCACGACTGTCGTCGATCAAACGATCATTTCCCAACCATGCATCATCGATCTCCTCAAATACATCATCTTCATCATCACCACCACCATCGGATCGTTCATTTCCACAATCTTCACAATCATTGACAAACCATTCCGCTTCACCATCCAAAATGGTTCAAAGTATCAGCGATGCAATAGTAGTAAATTTGCCAAGTCATCATCATCATGATGAGGATCACCAGGACGACCATCAACAACACCATCACGAACAACATGACTCTCAATCATCATCATGGACATTATCACCTTCCTCTAGGAATCGAAGAAAATCCAATCAGGATCAATATTCCTCGATCTCTACCACACCTCCTCATCATGAAGAGCCTCTTTCATGGTCTGGAGATCAATCGCCAGCATCATCCATTCATAGCAGTGTTGTAACAACAACTCGAACAAATTCATCGTCACATTCTAGTTCTAATAGTAGTAGTAGTAATAACAACAATAGCAACAGTAACTATTATTCACCACTATCACATCACCCTCCTCATAACACTCTCGGATCAAGTAGAAGCATGTCATCACCTGCATTGTTTTCCATGATGGATTCGAGAGGAATGGGAAGTTACATTAGTCATTGTTTTGGAATTTCATCACGATCTTTGCATAATGATTCATTCGAAATGATTCCTCTCACTGTTTTGACGTTGTGGAAGTTAGAGGATTATGGTGTGACATCATCGACGACGACGACGACAAATCCTCACGGAGGAGTATCTCCAGCCAAAGATTTTGAATCTAACCCATTCGAGAGTGTTCGATCGAATGAATTTCACACTTTTTTAGAGAGCAGTGACACGACCACGAACGTTCCGAGATCAACGAAGAGAAGGCCAGAAATGGTGAGAGGATACTCTTACATGTTAATGTGGTGTCCGTGGTTTAACATGTATGATAATTTATTTATTGAATTTTGGCTTGTTAAATTAGATGAATCTGTTGTCACAACCTCTAACGCAACACATACGAGATCAAATAATTTTACTAATAGTAGTAATAATAGTAGCAACATCAATTCTTCAAAACACTCCTTTTCTCAATGCTCTCCATCACCTTCAAATGATGGCTCTAATAATAATAATTTTCGCTTACTCAAAGTTCGACAACAAGCAAAAGCACTCTCAAAACAACCGAATGAACGATTTTTCAGTGGAAATATTTGGGGATATTCAGTCGTCCTAAACTCGCCGTTGAACCAAACCAATGAAAGCATTTTATCTCAATACTTGGCAAATGCATGTCCATCTTCGAGTACTCACTTTTTCGGAAATGATTTGGAAAATTTAATTATATGCTTTTTTGGACCTACTAAACTTTTCAAATTCAAGCTTAATGTTAAAAAGGAATTTCACAAAAATTACAAATCTAAAATCAAATCAGAATATGTCACCGATGTAGAATCGATTGATTTTGTGGAAGCCCTTGATTACAAATCTCTTCGTGTACACAATGCAATTACTCCATCATCGGCAGTCACAACTCCCACAGATGTTTTTTTCGATGTGACTAATACCGTCGAAGAGGAAGAAGAAATGATCGATGAATTGTATCATGGTCTATTCGATTCGACTAGCATCATTTCAGACAGTGCCAGAAAATCCCTTCAATTAATGTCACGCATTGAAATGATTCATGACCATCTTCAAGGGTATGGTTTTGTGAGATGTGACATTCATAATAATTGTCACTTGTACTCATTGCAGAGATCTGACACTTACGTACCAAGTCCAAGCTCTGCCAATGAAAGTATCAGCGATGATTCCTTTCTCGAATTACAATCACCCCGTAGTAACACTAGTATTACGACTACTCTCTCTGTCTGCGAGAGACGATCATGCAGAATCGCTCACCATTCTCTGAGTTTAGTGTTTTTTCAAAGACAAATCGCTCGAAAACAATATTTGAATTTGAAAAGCCCAACCAGTGGAAGATTTGAAATGAGTTATTCACCTCACTCGAAAAATCATGTAAAAATTGGATTTGAAAAAATTGGTCACATTTTACCATTTCATGTGGAATCTGGAAAATTGAACATGATGAATCATTCGAATATCAAAATTTGTAAATTTGATGAGAACTTGTTCTTAGTGATGGAAATTGACGAAAAGAACATGAAAAAGCAATGGGAACATTATCAATTATTGCAACAACATCAACCCAATAATTATTTTCAAACTATGAATGTCACATCCAGTCACGAGAGCTCATCACCACCTCCATTCATCATTGAGAGAAATCTAATGATGGAAGCCAATCAAGACAAAGAATTTGACGCTTTACAGTTTTTCAAATTTTACATTCTTGATTTGTCCAAATCTGACGATGTGAAACTATCAAGACTTTTCACGAGTTATGATGCCACGCATCCAACAAGTCATGCCACAATCTCACAATTTTCCTCCTCCAAAATTCATGAAGCTTATCTGAAAATTTCTACTCCTAAAACAGTTAAGAATCAATCTATCATCTCTAACTCGACAATTTCTCACAATTCCTTCTTACACATGAACAACCTCAATAGAAATCAGTTAACAACCAGTGACACAATATCTCATACCAATGACACCAATGATCATAACAATGTTCAATTCTCACTTCAGGAGCCACATCCATCATCACCACCGTCGAAACAACAGCTCTCTCCACAACCAAACAATCAATTTTCTCTGCAAGTCAATTTACAACACAACATGCTTCCAGTTTACAAAAATCAAAAATCCAAAAAGAAGAGATTTGACACTGAATTTACTTTTGAAAAACTCATTTCTCACATGATTGTTTTTCGAGGAGACATACACAAAAATCCACACCAGTACACCATTGCTCTCTTTTACAATGTGAAAGGAGATTTAAAATTCTTTTCGTCTCAACACGATTTTACTGGAATTGGAGAATTCTCAAAATTGAGAGGAAAATGGTTTGATTTCATTCATTTCACACATGTCGTTTCACGATCCAAGACATTATTCGATCAAGCCAATTTGATTTTAAATGCTAGAATGAAATCAGAGGGAAATTATGTAGTTTCAGGATTGGGATTTCCAGATGTTTTACTCTCCTGTTTTAAATGAATCTGAAATTATGGCCTTGCAACACCATTTTCTTAGAGTTTCTTCATAATTCCAGGACTTGTCATTTCCATCAATGCATGGCCATGAAATCATGTCAGATTATTAATTTTAATTAAAATTATTCAAGTTCAATAAAAAAAATTCAGGGATGGGTTTATTCGATGATAAACGTTGTTCGATGGTTTTATGTACATTATTTACAAGCCGAACGTAAGATACGTAGTGACTTCCTAGCAGGCACCCCGGAAGTAAAGGTGTTTAAACTGCTCACGATAACAGCAGCAACCCCTGGGATTCGAACGCTGGACCAGTTGGCTGCCACAGTTCCAGAAAAACCACTCGGCCATATGCGGGCAGCTAAGTTCAATAAAAAAAAATGAAAAAGTCGTTCGACTCCTCCTTTCCTTCCGAAACAATAACAATTTCTTCAACAATTTCCTCTCCATCCAATTCAAAAACAATCCATTCAGCCAACCGTAACAACAACAAGAATGAAAAAACTTCATTCTCTTCTTCCGACGAAATTTCGGAACAAACAGAATCACAATCTTACCATCTTCCAACTACCACCACCACACAATCTTATCATCGTCCTCCTCCTCGAAGAAAAACCTTTGAAAAAGCCAAAGCCATCCTTAGCTCTCAAATGAAAATTCCAAAAGCCTTTGCCACTCACAAGAAGACTCTTTTAGAGGCATCGGGATCCTCATCATCAATATTGACTTCGGTCCATCATCAATCATTAATGAAAATTGGTAGAATGTACAACAATGAAAATGAATTCAAAAACTATGATTCCAAAGGTTTCAAAGATTCCTCTCAAGTATTGCAAGAAGGTTCAAAACGAGGACGTGGAGTCAAATCCATTGAAGAAATTGAGTTGGAACAAGGAGACTCGGATACTTCGTTTTATACTTCCGATGAAGAGGAAAGTCCATCTGAATACGAAGAGGAACGATCGTTGAAGCCACTTTCGAAAAGCAGAAGGATGAAGAAGTGAGTTGCGTTTCTGAAATTACTTTTGAGTTGACTCGAGTCTTTTCGAGGTTCTTAAAAAATGTTTCAACATTCTTATTCGACTGATGATCCATCCATTCCGATTCAACAAGAACAACAACACACCAATGATCATCATGATGATGACTACGAGAGAGAAATGATTATTCACAACGATAGCATGAATATCGTCTTACTCTCGCAACAAATCTATGAATATATTGCGCAAAAAGATTTTATGCAAGCCTTGAAATTATTGATAGAATGGATGAATTCCGATCAAGCTACTCCGCATGATGCTGCGCATATTATTGAATTTTTAAAAAAGATATACAAATTGGGTTTTCATCATTTGTCTCACGTGTTTCGAGAGTTACAAGAAAATCAAAACGATTGTAAAAAGTTAATTCTCGCTGCCATGTATTGTGGCAGATGTGGTCATCCGGTGGATTATGAAAAAGCAATATCATTGTTTGAATCATCGGATTCTCTCAAATCTCACTACTTTTCTCAAAACATGATGGGAAATATTTATTCGAATGGAAATGGAGTCGACATTGATTATACTAAAGCTAAGGAATATTATGAAATGGCTGCAAAACAAAATTATTCAAGTGGTTTCCATAATTTGGGAAATATGTATTATTATGGAAATGGAGTACAACAAGACTTCACAAAGGCAATGGAGTTATTTGAATTGGCAGCTCAAAAAACTCATTACGATGTTACATGTAACAAATATTTAGCATTTGAAAATCATTATGCAGAAGCATTATATGTACTTGGCACGATGTATGAATTGGGAGATGGAGTGGAAAAAGACACTAGAAAAGCAATAGAATACTATCAACAGGCAGTGCAACTCAATCATGAATATGCTGCTTTTTCCATTGGAGAAACATTTGAAATAGATAATAATTATGAAGAAGCAGTGAAATATTTCAAAATTGCATCAAGTCTTAACTTTGTTGAAGCACAGTATCGCTTGGCAGAAATGTATCGAGACGGTATTGGCGCAGAACAAAATCTCACCAAAGCTATTTATTATTTTGAATTAGCTGCAGAAAATGAATATTACGACGCAGAAGATCAAAGTAAGGAGTTGCGGCTGCAAAGATTTTGTTCACATTTTCACAACAAATTGTTGAGCCATTTAGCGCTGCATTCATTTTCAGATGTGTGCACAATTTCCTTTCAAGAAGTGGCTGATGAAGACTAGAGAAGTAAAATTAACAAAGGATTACATTACGGATTGAAGACGGTCCTGAGTGGTATCACTTGTTTATCGAGAAATAGTTTGAAATGCTAAACATCATTGTTACTCTCACTTGACGCAGCATTATTCTGTTCGTTGTGATTTTCGAATAAAAATGAACATTCTCCCCACATGTATTTAAGATTGGGAGCAACATCTTTCAGACTTTGTTTCAATCTCGATATTTCTTCTTCTGAATAGCTCTGTGGAAAATCAAAACATCCAATATCTAAAACTTGCAAATTATGAAGAATGCCCCCTCCAAAATAAATGCCCTTTGATGTCTCAATGATTTGATGAGTAAAGGCGCTCCGATTCAAATGTAATTCTTTTAGTTGTTTAAACTCTCCAATGTGCTTTTAAAGTTCACCTGGAATTCCTGAACATGGGAAAACATCTAAATATTCCAAAAATGGTTGAGATTTTAAAAATTGATAAAAAGTGTCGTCTCTGGCTATGCATTCCAATTCAGAATACGATTCCAATTCAATTCTCTTTAACTTGGAGCACATTTTGGAGAGGCATGCAAAAAATTTGTTTGTGACCAAAGACCAGAGCTGGTATTAAAACAACAATACACTGTTTGAGAGAGGATTTTCAAGGGCCCTTGAACGAGATAAACTTTCCCTGCTTGTCTCCGATCATATTATTGTCTTTGGCCAATTTATTCAATCTATTAATATTTCGTTGATTATAAAATTGTTCTCATCACCTGTGTACAATGGCGATCATTACATCCAAACAATATATTACCATTTACAATGCACTACAAGCCATAGAGTGGATTAATTTATTATTATTTAGAACTGTTCGACCTCTGCTTGAGAAACATGGTGGTCGATTAAAATTTACAAACAAACAAGTTTTGGAACGATTATCAGCGAAAAAACCGTCATTATGGACTTTCAATAGAAAATATCTTAAAACTATTCAAACTTTGCAATTAATGGAGACCGTTCATGTCATTACAGGTATAACTCCAAATTCATCTCTCTCAACAACTCTAGGACAGACACTCGGCAGAATGTTTATTACTTATTTTATAGCAGATGATTTACCAAATAATGATTTACTGACAGACATTACAATGTTCACTCTACAAGTATCATGGGCATTGGCAGACATTATTCGATATTCACATTACATCAGCCAAACGTGTGATTTAGAAAAAGATCCCAAGACAGCCAAAGTTGTGAAATTATTGAAATTTTTAAGATATAATGCATTCTTGATTTTATATCCTATTGGCATGTTGAGTGAAATTGGATTAGTGTTGATGACACGACGAATTGTGATGCAGAACACAATCAACAACAACAACAAGAGGCATTTGAAAAATTTCAAGATTGCTGTTTTTTCATTCCAATCATGGAATCGATGAAGTCGTTGTCCGTCATGGGTGCATTTGAAGATGACACCAAAGAACGATTTGTCTTGGATTTTGTGAAATGTTGTCCAAATTTGCAAGAGTTGAAATATGCATTTACAGGATTTTTGGAATTGTTTCTTCAAACGTAATAGGTGCTGAAATGTCAATACTAACTTGCTGATTTTCAGAATCCAATTCTTCATCTCGAAATGGTAGTTCTACAACTTTTCTCATATCCATTAGATTGAAACCAAGATCAAACGATAAAGGATTGCAGAAAATGATCGGAAAGTTCACATAACGAACCGTTTCGATCGGCAATTTCCTCCACAATATGAATGACTTGATGAATATTGTATTTTGTGATTGCAAGTGGTTTTTGGTTTGCAGTGCACCAAATTCCATTCCTCTCGAATTTCCTGTGATTCAGAAACGCAATATTTCGCCAAATGATTTTCAACCATTTCAGAAATGATATTAAACATTGTGGATGATGTGAATGCCAGTTGCAGAATATCCTCACTTGGCAAATATTGCAAAATTAGACCCAGTTCATCATTTGATAATGGCGCTGAAATGATGTGGTTGAAAAAGGATTGGAGAGTCTTCCGTACTTTGTTGATCATCGTTTCTTTCATCTATAGATAAATTAATTTTGATCTTTTTTAATTCGGGATGGTCAACATGATGATAGGCCTCTTCATCGTCCACCTCTTTGTAATTTCTTTTCATTTTTTTTGTAATTTCATTTTTTTTTGGAAATTTTTTTACAAATTCCAAAATTTAGTGGATCGAACCAAGTTGGCAGTTTGGCCTTTCTTTATTCTTCATCATCTTTCGAAAGAGTATAGCTCAAACAAAAGCACCAGCTCTCACCACTTGACTCTCAGCATAGGAACTTCTATTATATCCAGGATCATTCACTAAATACACTCCATTGCTGTAGGACTTGGCAAGAACCCAATGTCCACCTCCATTGACATTCAAAACAACGACTTTACCAGAACAGAGCCAATTTCTAATGGTTGCCTTATTAGTGGTTTGTCCAAGATATTTGAAACCAAATCTGGAAACAGAAGTCCAGACAAACAAGTTGCCGTAATAACCTCCATGAGTTTTTAATCATGCGTTCATTTCACCTGGATTTTTGGTGGATTTTCCACGTCCTTTTAAAGCCATGGTGACAGAGGTCATGAGACAACCAACTTTACAAATGGTGGAGCCTGTGATAAAGGTCATGATGCATGTTGAGTAGGATGAAAGAATCAGTGTCAAATGTCATTCGAATAAGTAGGTACAAACAGGATTCAATAAAAAAAGAAATTTTCACACTTGATCCCAATCGATTGCCACCCCATCGACTATCACATTGCTTAAACAATGGGTAACTGTATGATTGTCTACAACTATTTCCACTATTGGAATCTGCCATCACGGACTCTTCTTCATCACCTAATGCTGTTGGGAGAATGACAAGTGACGTATCATCCATTGGTGATTCTTCTTCTTCCTCTTGTTCAGTTCGATCAGCAGCAGCGTTGATGGCACTCGCTGGGAGGTCAATTCCAAAATGAAGAGCATTCAGAGAGGGTTGTCCAATGAGAGTGACACCTGACTGCTCTGGGTAGGCCTTTTGAGCCATCACAGCGACGGAAAGAGACAATAGTACAGTTGCAGCAATGAAGAGGAGAATGGACTTCATGTTGTGGAGTAAATATTTTTTTAGTGAGGATGGCGTATCTGTTTCTGATGCTGAGGCAGGATTATAACTGTCAATTGTCAAAGAGTTATTGTTGATGATTGAGGAAAAGCAAATACAAAATGAAAGATATTGTAACTGCATCTTGTTAGTGCTCGCTGAAAAGAGGATTTATTCATCACACAGATCTGGAAAGAGTGCAGTTTCTTTCACAAAATCAAATCGGACCAATTTCTCACATTTTGATGACACGAGCCTCAATTACAACCAACATTAAATCGTTCAAAATTTCACTTTAATTTCACAGATTGGATTGTGCAATGACTTGAAATGACCAATGCCGGTTGATCATCATCTGAATGTTTTAAAAACACGGCGACCTCTGCCTAGTTGTACAATTCTTGAACACTAATTCCACAATAATGTTTACAATATTCAATCCACACTCGAGCAATATTTTCCTTTTCTGGAGATGGGACTGGAAATCCCTTTTCTTTTTGTCGTTTAATGGCATTTCTCAATCCTGAACTCAATACTTGAACCATCTTCTTATTGACCACCGAAGAATTCATGACCAGATTCGAATTGAGAATTCCGCCCAAATTTCCAACTTCTCGACGTATCGAGTGGTGTTTTCATCAATTTTGGGAATTAATCTCATGTATATAAATCGAGTTCGAATGTCATTCTTTGAAACTTTGTTTTCCAATGTTGGAATTTTGCACGACTTGTACAAAAAAATGTGTTCCACTAATTCTTGACCTACAAATGTGGATTGACAGGAAACGACCACTTCAACCTTTCTTTTTGTGAGTATGGAATTGGTATTGAAATGATGATGGGAAATGATTGGAGAGAGAATTTTCAAAACGTTCTTTAAGGAATTTAGAAAATCGTTCATGTGAAAACCATTTCTGTTTGAAAATGACATGTTCAACCATGTATTTCAAATAAGGGTATGGATCGGGTGGTTGGGTTGAGTTGGCATTTGAATCCATGTCATGATGGTTCAAATGATTGAATTATTGAAAATGCCATCCGTCAAATGAATATACTACATGATGACAATAGGTTTCTAACATATGTTCATTACAGATGAAATGTCTTTTAAATGTTTGTAAATTTTTCTTGACACTCCGTCAAAGACATAATCCAAAAATAGTAATTGCACTTCGAATTCAATCTCCATTTCCATTCTGAGCTGTTGATCGTGTGAATTTTCTGTTTGCATTCCACATATTTTGATAAAATCTAAATATTTTGTTACTGCTATTGTTGGAAGGTGACATTCGTGTGGCATTTGACAGCTGGGATTCAGCAATCCACACCCGAGATGATTGTGGTGATTGGGAAGGCGACTGCTCTGAAGATCCCTCATCAAGAGAAGAACCATGAAGTACATCAAGAGAGGAAGACTTGCTAGCTGGTATTGGCAAAGAAGACTTTTGATTCAACGACACATTGGAATGACACGTCACGACATTGTGTTCATAGGTATTCGGATGGACAGGATGCAACAAGGCCGCAAGAGGCAATCGAGTGGTATAATTAGTAGAACCTCCTCCCCTTGAAGAAGAAGAAGACGATTTCGTTCTTTTATGGTTTGTTGTTGTTGTTGCTTTCATAAAAACAGAAATGATCAGTTCAAACTTTGAGGCAAAGGATCAACGAAAACCACAAAGTGGTGATTCAATGAAGAGAACAAATGATTATTCAAAGCTTTGAATCAAAGAGTGAGTGAAATTTTTTTGTGGTTTGGAAAAGTATTAACCTCACAAGTAAAGAATGGGTGTTTGTTATTATTAGTGACTCTAGGTGAGGCGAGAGGTTCTTGTGATTCATGTCGTTGGATTAAAGCATTCCTTTCATCAAAGGATGAGAATCATTGAGGGACTTTATGATCGGCTTTTTTTGTTCAACATGTTGAACATGGTTAATGGATGAAAATGGTGTTTCATTATTAAAATAGAAATGATGAAAATTTCACTCTTGAGATGACACTTGTCATCTAATTTATTCATGATGTAAGAATGTACATGGACTTGTTGCAATATCACTCGAATCAACGAATTCATTCTTACATATTTTGATTCGACTTGGCAAATCCAACTCTCTTGTTTTCATAATCAAATACTGTATAATAGGTACTAATAAAAGTATCTCCCAAAATAATAAATCCACTAGTATTCATATTCAATGTTTGGAATCCAGCCACACATTGAGTTTGTCCTTGACTTGTAATTCTCAACACATAATCGCGAGGAGTTAAAGTGAAACTCTTTCCCGACAAAATGAAAGTCACACTTGGATTTGAGTCAATATTCGAACAATCTTCATTGACTTGAATGGAACTCAAAATGGGATTCATAATATCAGCAGTGGCGGCAATTAAGGAAGTTCCAGTGTCGGCAATGGCGGCACAAGCGGGATAACATAATTGCATATTTTGTCCGTTCATGGCCACATCATCCATGTACATGAGCCAATACGATTGTTGTTGAACGGGCACATAGGTGATGGGTCCTGAGAAGTACTTTTCATTGATTCCACCTAAAATTAAGGCGCTTGAACCACTGCCCGGAGTTTTTGACATGTAAAACGAGAAGAGATTCTTTTCCAAAAGACCTTGTTGCATCATGTTGTTAAACACAGGAGTTACTCCATCGACAGCAATTTGTGGGAACGCCATTCCTAAAATTCCATCAATTTTTGCATTCAAAAAGGTATTTCCGAGCTCTTGAGTGACTTCTCCAAAGACTTGATTTTTCACACGAATACCTCCGACAGAAACATCATCCTGACTCAAATAACCCTTCACAGCTCCAGTTCCATACGTAATGTTAAAGGAACGACCATTCTTGACATAGGTCATGGATTTGGTGTGATTGTATCGAGCATGTCGGACACAAGACACGTCCTTACACTCCACAGAAGGAGCCCACAAATTACTACTTCCCGTATCAAAGACCATTTTGAAGGTTTGTGGAGGATTTCCAATGCTAATTTCACCATAGTATTGAACATCTTCATAGTCTTTGAGAGGAATGATGGGAGCAAGAGTTCCCTTTTCGAAAAGTGTTTGAAGAGCTGGTTTAAAGAATTTGGTTGGTTGATTTTGAGTGGTGGTTCGGAGGATGGAAGAGTCTGGTTGTTGCATGGAGCGAAGACGTTCTGTGTAGGCACGTACGGAGTGAGGAGAGGAGAATTCGCGTTTGGAGAGAGGGATTTCAATGATGTGAGAAAGTGCGAATTGTGAAAGGAAGAGTATGAGGAAGAGTAGAGGGAGAAATTGTGAAGTGTTTGTGAAGGAGGACATGATGGTAATGATTTGTTTTTTTTGTTCAGCAAAATTTTGGAATCAAAGGTCAATGTTCCTCAAAGAAATGACATCCGGAGTAACGGACATGGGAGATGAAAACTCCGGAAAATTCACACTTGTGCGAAAGAGAATGAGATTCAAGGGAACAAACCAACACTGGCTGCCAATGAAGACCTGACGCCGTGCACGATGTCCTCTTTGTAAAACGCCCATTCTCACCAAGAGACATCTCATGCAATCATTGGCCAATCTGGCGAAAGAATTTCACAAATTCAAACGAGAATTCGATCAATCAATGGAACAATTTGGATCTAATACCAATGAAAATACAATATTGTTGCCTTTTTTCGAAGTATCTGTTAATATCCATATAAAGAAATGCACTGATATGTTCTGAACGTAGTGAAGGGCGTGAATGTTTCGATTGTAAACAATTAAAGAGTTTGGTTGAGCTTGAAAATTTTTTTCCATGCTCAAAAAATTTTCTGCATATTAATGATTAGTCTCTCTTTGCGTTGCTTAGTGACTTCCCACCCATTCGCACTCCCACCCACTTGCTTTCTTAAGCTTATTCAAGTACCTTTTTCGCTGAACGGAATGTTCTTGTGGTAAGGAAGAACATTGTGACAGTGCAGGTCCACCTTGATTCGGCAAGGATTTTATTGAGTTAACTATATAATTTTGTTATTTAATTTTCATTTATTTAATTCATCATATTTTCATGATATTCATGGATTTATCAAGTTATTATAATTTTCATGGATTTATCAAGCAATTTTTTAAATGTGACCTCATATCATGGAGTTTTCGTCTCTACCACCTAACTGTGACTTCTTGCGCTTCACAACATGTAGTCGTTACCTCTGCCTTCATCCTTCCTGCTTCCTTGCGTTTCTTTGGTTTTCTCCTTTTTTTCCGCTGAGCGGTTTTTGGAGTTTTTTACCTTCTCAAATCTTAATTAATGCTCCGGACTCTGCTGAATAAAGTCAATTGACAAAATATGCAGAAAATCCCACAAACACCGGACCTTTATTAAGGTCGGGTGTTTGGAGAGACCACAAACCCATTAGTCCTTCCTTTAATTAACAAACGAATTTTATTGTTTACTCTTTCGAAACACTGTTTAATAAACTTGTTTGATTAATATCAACAGTTATTGTTGGTCGGACTTTTTTACAATCACATTCATCCATTCTTTGAGCGCTTCTTAGGATCGTTCGAATCCTCCATTATTTTCTTCACCAAAAAAATCAAACTTGCATTCAGCCAACAATATATTCTAACTGAATTCCTTTTTAAAAGTGCAAACATGTTCTTCCCTCTCCTTCCGCTTCTTATCACTGCTCTTCTCCTCTTCCTCCTCTCAGCAAGTTGTCTACTCTTCTATTTCCTTTTTCAAAATTACAAAAAAGTTCAACACATTCCTAGAGTATTTCAATTATTGCCATTTGCTCCTTTTCGTCTTCCATTGCTTGCGCCTTACATTTACATTGGAAATCAATTTGATTTATTAAACGTCATTGAGAAACATTCGGATCCAGAAACCAAAACATTTCGCATTTCAACACTTGTTGGAAATGTTGTCTACGTGTCGGATCGAGACATGATGAAAGAAGTGCATTCGAAAAAATTGCATGTCTTGAATAAGGATCCTCGATTGAAAGCGATTGAAATATTTGGTGAAAGTTTAGTTTCTGCTCCTGATACGGAATGTTGGAAAAAACATCACCGAGTCTTGTCGATGGTTTTTTCGAGTGGAAATTTGGAATACATGTGTCAGGTGGCTGTCAAAACTGTCGATCAATTGACAAGAACGAAATGGGAACCTTGTATGAATCAGAATGAGAAGGGAACTATGATGTTGGAAGCGCACAATGATTTTACGAATGTTACTTTGGATGTTTTGGCGAAAAGTAAGTTTCTAAATATTTAGTTTTTCAAGAGTTCCATTTCTTAATTCTTTTTTGACAATATGACAAATTACATCATATGATTGTTGGAAAAATCAATTCCAAAAAAGGTGTGTTTGGAACATCCTTCTGTATCTTTCAAGATTCTGAAAATTCCAATCCAGATCTCGTCTTGAAAGGTCGCCAATTAAAACAAGCCATTGAAAAGATCTTCACTCATGCCTTTTCCTTTCGAATGTTTCTCGCATGGTGTCCATTATTTGAAAAGGCAGCTCTTCATTTCACAGGAGTTCAGAAATGCATGGACTATTGTTCACAAGTGTTGGATGAATTTATTCGAGAACGAAAAAACATGATTGAAAGAGGTGAAGAGATTTCCGAACAAGATTTATTGAGTTTGATGGTTAAGGCGAATATTGAAAATAATGAATTAACGACAGATCATATCAAATCGAACGGATTGTTGTTCTTGGTGGCTGGTAAGTAAACCAATGATCGTTCGATGAACTTTGACATGTGAAATTGTTCCACATGGACATTTGGGTATTTGATTTTATATGTTTTTTACTCCTTGGATTTTATTAAGTTACTGAAACGAGTTCAAATACTCTTCAATGGATCATTTAAGAATTGACAAAACGACCAGAAATTCAAGAACGAGCTCAACAAGAAGTGGACCAAATTCTTAAAAATGGTGAATTGGAACCTTCTTTCCAACTTTATGATTCTTTTGTGTTTTGCAATGCCATCATTCATGAAACTTTACGTTGTCATCCACCTGTTGGCTCAGTCTCCAAAATCTGCTTCAAGAACACTCGTCTTGGAAATTTTGACATTCCAAAAGGAACCATTATTCTGTCACTCATCACTCAAGCCAACAAGAATGAACAAGTTTGGCAACACTTAAACAATACGTTCCATCCTGATCGATTTTTAAATGCGGATGAACTGAACAAGAGACATTCCGATTATTCAATGATTCCTTTCAGTATGGGTTTGATGAAAATGCAATGGATACAAATTTGCCTTGTTTGAAATTTTGATGATTTTGACAGGACTTGTTCAAAAGTTTGAATTTGAATTATTGAATGATGAAAATGTGGATCCAGTGTTGGCAGAATCCAGCATTACATTCAAGCCAGGTCGTATGAAAGTGAGAGTCTTCCGAAGAAATGTGACAAAATATATGAATGACCCTTTGTATTCACGAGGGCTTGTGTGGATCATACGATTGGTTCAACACATTTGTTGTTGTGTCACAACCTGAATCGAGTCCGAATGATCTTCCCTATTGTTGTCTGTTGCTGTGATCTAATTCGTTTAAAATGTGAGATTTTTTTTAATTGTTCGTTGGTTGTGGAACAAATATCAGTAACAGAATTCCATCAAAAGAGTTGTATTTGGATATTGTATTCTAATGATCAACTCAAAGAGGTTGCAGTGGAATATTATTCTCGTCTTAATACTGTCTAAACAGTTGGTCAGGAAAAAAGTAAACCGCTCAGGTCCTGACAAACTCCAAACACTGAATCAGATTTCAAGATTCAACAATCCAAGATTGAAATTTTTCATTTGTTTTCCATTTTTGAAACAAAAGCCGTTTAGTCGATTTAAATCTTCCCTGTCTCTCTCACAAGACACTTTTAAATTATTCTTCAGGTCTGACCAACGTTGAGACTCGTTTCGATCATCAACAATATTATTGACGTCAACAAACAAGCAATGCCGATATTGAATACTGAAATGTACATTCACGCCAGTTCGGCTTCTCCTCTCGAGTCTAGTCTATCATTACCTACAACATCAAGCATTGAAACCTCCTCCACAACAACAACAACAACAGACAAAGACTCCACGCTGCAGTACGGTATGAATAGACGCCTCCTGCATCATCAAGGCATTCCTTCTCAATGGTTGCAATTAAATCATATATCAGACGAATCCAATGTTGTAAATAATAATATTATTCATAATGACAATATGATCATTCCTCAAGCATCAAATAATACAGAATCCGAAATTATTACAATTAATCATTTTGATGATGATGATTATAACTTCCATAACAATAATCCCACATCTCAAGATGAAAACAATGTTGTTGAACAAGACAATAACTCGCCTCCTCTGCAAGAATATTATCAACAACACGAAGAGGCCTCTCCTATTACAAAGAGCACATCCACCTCTTCTTCAACAACTACTCCTCTTCCAACATTGAAGCTCATCGTCATTTTCATAATTTTCATATGTGATGTATTTGCCTTTTCCACGGTTGTGAGTTATGTTCCTTTCATGGTACAAGATTTTGGTATTACTCAGAACAAGACTGAATACGGTTATTATGCAGGTTTGATTGCTTCAAGTTATTCGGCCGCTTCTCTCCTCTCAAGTATTGCTCTCGGATGGTTATCCGATCGTGTATTGGGAAGAAGGAAGGTGATCTTGATGGGAACTTTGTGTTCCTGTATCACGAGTTTGTTATTCGGTTTGAGGTAAGTTGATGACGATTTGCTCTTTCATATATATATATCATGAACCTGATGATTCAACACTACCACTTCCCACATATGTGTGTATGATTCAACACCAACTATGAAACATTATGATAACTTCATAACGAACATCATCATCCATGTTTTTTTTTCATCACTCCTTTTTGCCATTTCTCACTCGATTTCTCACCTAAAATTTTGCCTCTGCGAATACGTTTTTGGGGTGAGAATTCGTTCATCCTCTGGAAAAATGACTGTATGAATATGTACCTTCATTGATTGTTTTGCGAACACTTGATCTCTGAAACAACGATACCAGCATCAACTTCCCGATGGCCATCACGGTTCGGGTTGTATTCGGATTGGTCAATGGAAACATTGGAACCATAAAAACCTATCTCGGAGAAATTACCGATAAAACGAATCAGGCAAGAGCCTTTTCATTCGTTGGTATTTCATTTGCCATAGGATCGATCTTGGGCCCATTGATTGGTTTATTGGCAAGACCGAACATTCAATATCCCAACATCATGAGCATGACTCCTCAGATCGTACAGAATTTTCTCAACTTGTTCCCTTACTTTTTACCTAACTTGTTTGTTGCCACATGTTCATTCATTGGGTTTCTAATTGCTTACTTCAAGTTGGAGGAAACCAATCCAAGATTTGTTAAGGAACTACAAGACAAGAACCAAGAAATCATAACTAGAAGGAACACCGAGACCAATGATGATTACCCTGCCTGCAGAGAGAAAACAAATGACAACTCAAGCAGCTCTGAGAAATTGACCAAAGCAGTTCATTCGAAATCAACGACTGAAATAGATCAAACAAATCTAGAGAAATTAAACAGAACTGAACAATGTTCAAAGAGTCCTTTGTCATCACCGAGTACCGAGGCAAGTCCAACCACTTCTACCTCCACCACCAATGCCACACCATCTGCCCTTTCGGATCTCGTCTTTGAGCAATGTATTGAAAGGAACAAACATTCATGCATCACGGAAAAGACAGGCAATGAGGAGTCTAACAAATTCCGTGAGCATTCCCTTCACTTAATGACCAACGAAGATCAACCAACCACATGCTCTCCCCGTACATGCAGCACTCAATCATCCTCATCCCTGTCATATGTTACTCAATCGACCAAGAAACATCACTTGCATACATCCAGTTCACTCTCCCTTAAACTTCGAATTCGAAAATTATTCAAAAGTGAAATATTCCAGACCTATTTACCTTTATTCACTTCAGCTTTGAATCTCATGATTGGTTTTTCTTCGTCTGCCTTTGACGAAGTGAGTCCACTCTTTTCATTGTTGCCTCCAGAGTAAGTATTTCTTTAAGAGTTTCTTAGTGATTCATTTTGTAATCCACATTATGTCTTCAATGATCGCTTGTTTTATTGTTCTATACTGTGACACCATTCTCTCATCTCATGAAATATCATGATTCTCTCAATTTAACAAAACATCAAAAAAAGGAATGGAGGTCTGGGATGGACAAATTTCGAAATTGGCATTCAAGGAGCTGTGAATGGAGTGGGTATTCTGGTAGGTCAACTCTTTATCACTCCAATCATTGCCAAAAAACTCGGCAGTGTTTGGTGTTTCCGATTGGGGAATATTCTCATCCTGCCAACAGTCATTCTCTTTCCTGAACTCTCCTGGATCTCAAAATGGAAGATTAGTGAAGTTTCTACCTCTTCCTTGGCCCCAACTGTTCTCATGTGGATCTTTTCGATATGCCTCACTCTATTGAGGACCTTCTCCCTTAATCTTATCTTTACTTCACTTTTGATTTTGATCAACAACTCGGTGCACACTTCCTCTCGAGGTTTACTGAATGGAATTGTACAGAGTTTTGTGGCATTTGCTCGCATGATGGGTCCAGTTGTGTCTTCGAGTGTGTTTGCTTTCACGGCAAGTCATTCCTTCTTCTTTCCGTTCGATTTTCGATTTGTGTTCCTTCTCATTACGATGTGTCATGTGGCCATGATTGTTGCATCTGTGTTCTTAAAGAAGGAATTGAATACGCCCAAGGAAGAGATGTATCCATCTTCCTATGAGGAGGAAGAGGAGCAAGATGTGGCCATCTTGAGAGGCCATGAAGACAATGACGACGAGGTGCATCAACCTCAACTAACGATGCATGATCTCGCAGAGGAACACGACGAACTCCTTAAATGCTCGAATGAGGAGGACCTCGAATTGAGAACCATGATGGCCAGTCGTTCTTCCAAAGCACCAGCACTAGCATCGTTTTCAAGATATTCTCCCCTTCATGAATGTAATAATGATGATCATGATCATTATTACATTCATAGCATCATGGACTCAAGCAAGCCTTAATCCATGAGGACTTCCTTATTACATAATAACCACCATATAATGTAGATTAAAAAAAATTTATGAACCTCTCATTGTAGGCTCGTCTCTGTTTCCCATTCATTCGTTGTTGGTGCCTATGAACGTTCAAGAATATCATCCGAATAGCCTCACCCAAAGATATTTACGGGAAGCACTGTTTTTCGGGGAGAAAGCATTGACTTTGGAGAGGAATGTTGATCTTTCTGTACAGCAACAACAGCCTTCATTCTCCTCTTCTCCTGAAGAGTACTATTTGAAAGCCTCAAATGCCATTCGATGCGCTTTAAGTTTTGAAGAGAATGAGAGTTTAAAAACCTTATACGAGATGTTGAATGCAACATACGAGTGTAAAATTGCTCAGTTGAGAGGGATGGTAAACCATGACTTGACAGAAGACGGAACTACTTCCCCTCTTGAGCACGACAGCACTGGCAGAAAAAAGACAATGGAACAGCAGCACTGTAAGAAAAGAAACTGCACCGAGACATTTCAGGAATTGGAGAATAATGGAGATGATGAAGAAATGGACGGGTCTTCCTCCTACTCCATGGATGTTTCACGAATCGTAAGCGAAGAAGACAAGTCAACACGAGACATGCAACGAAGGGCAAAGAAAAGAAAGGACATTGAAAGTGAAAACTCAGAGATTGAATCATTTATCATTAACAAGGAAAATTGCAGAGAGGAGCATGAGTGGGAAAAAGTTGTCGGACTGGAACATGTTCTTCAATGCTTGAGAGAGGCCACTATTCTTCCACAACGGTTTCCTCAATTGTTCTCTGGGGAGAGGAGACCGTGGAGAGCTGTTTTGTTGTATGGGCCTCCAGGAACAGGTAGGTAATATTGCATTCGTTGTAATTGTTCATTCCATTGTTTGGTTTGATCATTCATTCATCTGATGGTACAATTCTTTCAAGGCAAGACAATGCTTGCGTCAACAATGGCAAAAGAATCACTTGCAACATTTTTCAGTGTCTCAAGTGCAGATATTCTTTCAAAATGGGTAGGACAAAGCGAAAGAAAAATCAAGCAATTGTTTGAATATGCTTCGAAACGAAAACCCTCTGTGATATTCATTGACGAAGTTGACAGTTTGTGCTCAGTCCGAAACGACAATGAAAGTGAAACCTCACGACGGATAAAGACGGAATTCCTTGTTCAAATGCAAGGTGTCTCATCGAAAAATGGTGTTACTGTAGTTGGAGCAACCAATCTTCCTTGGGAAATTGATATTGCCATTCGACGACGTTTTGAGAAAAGAATTTATGTACCTCTTCCCGACGTAAAATCAAGGAAAGAGATTATCGTCAAACATATTGGAAATACTCCTAACAACCTTACAGAGGATCAAATTAACATGATTGCCTCAAGAACAGAAGGATATTCTGGGTCAGATATTTCAGTGTTGATTCGTCAAGCCTTACTTGAACCAATTCGCAAGTGTCAACAAGCCACGCACTTTCGCAAAGTGAAAGGATTTTCACCTGTCACCTCTCAATATTGTGAAGACCTTCTAGAACCCACTCATGAACAAGATGATCAAGCTTTGCAAATTTCATTGTATGATATTGATTCCGAAAAGCTGCTTCCTCCGTTAGTCACAATGCAGGATTTTGAGTTTTCATTGAATACCATCAAACCAACTCTCACACCTCAGGATGTTGAAAAATATGAGCACTTCTCTATAATGTTTTAAGTATGGGGTATTTGGATGTTTTGAATCTATTTGAAAAACACTTCTCCGTTCATATTTCATGGAATGTCAGCTTAATAATAATCATAACATATTTTAATTAGAAAAAAAATGAAGGACAACAACAAAACAAATTATGAATTTCACTCTCTGCGACCTTTGCAAAAGGATGATCAAGTGGACACTGAAACCTCCCGAGACCAAGCAAGTACGGAAAGAACCATGCATAAATTTTACAATCCATACATCCAAAATCAGCAAGTGTTTTTTGATTCGTTATTATTATTTATTGATGAACATACCAAGTTTTGTAAGAAGGGACTCCGAACTCTGCCATCAACCTATGATTCTTTGGATGCTTCTCGTCCATGGTTTTGTTTTTGGTGTTGCAATGCACTAAGTATGATTCCGAATTTAGGAGAGGACAATGTATTGTATCCTTCTCAATTGGATTTGGTCAAAAAGCAAGATACAACACTCGTCTCCGATTTTAGCGAGTTTTTGGCTGGCAAATGCCAAGATGTGCAACATGGTGGCCTCGGAGGTGGACCTCATCAATTATCCCATGTGGCACCAACATTTTCAGGCACCATTGCTTTGTGTGCTCTCAAAGCTACCGAAGGTTTAGATCGAATTGATCGAGAAAAGATGTACTCTTTTTTATATTCGTTAAAGGACCCTGTTTCAAAAGGATTTCGAATGCATGTCGATGGAGAGGTCGATACAAGAGGCTGCTTTTGTGCCCTCATTGTGGCCACAGTTTTTAATATTATGGATGACAAATTAATTGAAGGAGTCGATGAATATTTAATCAATTGTCAAACCTATGAAGGTGGAATTTGTGCATTTCCAGGATCGGAGGCACACGGAGGTTACACCTATTGTGGATTGGCTTCCATGATGCTCATGAAAAAAGCTCACCTTCTTGACCTTGATTCTCTCTTGCATTGGCTATGTAGAAGACAAATGTCCTATGAAGGAGGCTTTCAGGGAAGAACCAATAAGCTTGTAGATGCATGTTATTCATTTTGGGTTGGAGCATGTTTTCCATTAATTGAGGCAGCGCTTGTTTCATTGAAAGATCCAAAAGATCGAACAGAACATGACCAATGCATTCTCGAATATTTACAGTGGGTACCTCCAGAATTGAGTCAAGAAACTCGATTGAAATATACCCCAAAGAGTTTTAATCTTCATCACTTTGATATCAATGAGCATAAGAGAGAAATTCACGACATTGAGTCGCCATGTCAAATTGAAGAACTCGATGAAAAACAACCCTATATTGAGCTTGATGACACTGAATGGATGTTTGATCAAACAGCTCTTCAAGAATACCTCTTGTTGTGTTGTCAACAAGAAACAGGTGGATTACGTGACAAGCCTATCAAACACCCTGATTTTTATCATACCTGTTACGCACTTTTTGGTTTGACCATTGCCCAGCATAATCCAAGTGGTAGTTTGTCAGTTTTAGGTGACTGTAAGAACTTGTTGCGACCAATTAATCCTCTTTTCCAAATGTGTAACGACAGCGTGGCGTGTGTTTTGCAGCATTTTGGTGGAAGAAGCAAAATTTAATTGTTACAGTTGTCACGAGTGTGTAATCAATGCATCACCCACAAAAAAGAAGGAAATCATGTTTTATGGCAAAATAACAATAATTTTTACCAGAGCTCCTTTTTATGCTTCTTCGAGATCCCATATCTTCTCAATATTTCAGATAACTTCCCAAATAAGCAAACACAGCGTTCATGAAATGTAAAGTCTTTTTTCCCGCCAAAATTAGTCGTTTTTTTTAAAACAGAACAAAAAAAATAACCCCACATGATGACCGCCAACCAACACCACCACCATCCTAACAACAACTACCAACAACAAGCACCATCAACAACAGCCTCTTCCTCCTCCATGTCTCACTCATCCTCACTCCATCCTACTACTTCCTCTCAAGAAACAACCGCACAACAACAACTCCAACAAGCCTTTAGCAACATGCAACCCTTCGGAACGAACACCACCATAACGACACAACAAGAATTTGATGCCAATGAAATTATAAAACAAGCCATGGAGAAGTGTAATCGACTCTTTATGGATATGGAAAACTTTGAACAAAATCTTCGGGCATGGTCCAACAACAAGATGAATGGATTTCAAAAGGCCGTCAGTGCACAAACTCAAATGTTTCAGAATTGTCAAAATACGATCAACAACTTGCGAGTCAAAATTGAGAAGGCCAATGAAAAGAGGCAAGTGGTGGAGGAGAATTTAAAACAAAATTATGAAATGGTTGGCCAATTAGAGCAACAATTCGAAGAGCGAACTCAATACAATGAAGAACTGCCCGAAGTTTTGAAAAATCGATTAGCAGAGTTGGAACGATATAAACAAGCAGTAGAACAACAACAAGAGAAGAACAGAAATCTCAAGAAGCTCTACGACGAACACAATGAATTATTGGCATTGAGGTTACAAAATTCTTACTTTCAAGAGAATCTTGGAATATACTTTGAGAGATGCGAACGAAATGGTGTTCCAAGTTTGATTGTTTCTTTTAAAATTCAAGGTATGGAACGACTTGGTCTCGAACAATGTCACTTTGTTTTGAGTGTGACAGATGGCATTTATTCCATACAAGAATGTGTTCCATCGGTTTCGAGTGACGACTTGATAGAAACGCTGAATCAAACGAACCAATTTGGACGTTTCATTGTGTGCTTTAGAAAACGATTCAAGACCTATATTGTTTCACATTCTAATCATTAAGAGATCCAACATTGATTTCAAAATTCCTTCCTCCAATCCTACCTTAATAAATGATTTAATAATTAATTGGTTTGTAACAATTGTAAAAAACTAACTCGATACAAACCAACAACAAAGATGTATGTCCATCTTACCCTCCCATTATATTTACAAAGAGAAACGGATCAAATCCGGAATGATGATTTCAATCTCCATCTTTACTGCAGTTACGGATGAAAAAACAGACCAAAAAATTCACCCAAAACTTCCTCCTCACTTTCATGCCGAGCTTACATGGTGAGGTTTCTCCTCATCCATCATCGTCATCCTCCTCACTTTCATATGATCTCACGCATTTACCTTTTGAAATTATTCGACACATCTTGTCCTTTGTTTCTCTCGTCTTTCCCAATGATTTTCTCTCCTCCGAAATGAACATGTTTTTGGAAAGAAAGAATCATTTCTCATCTTTACAAGATGATGACATGACACTTGTGTTTTCACAAATTCTTGTCGAAAAGGAAATGAAAAGTCTTCTCCGCATCCAAAATTATTTTGGAAGATTTCCTGCTCATGATGAATCATTATTGGATCAATCTAAACAATTTCATGAGGAATCATTATTGGATCAATCTGAATCATCTCTATTGGAAGATCATCAAAAGGATCGATTTGATTCATCATCATTGAATCATCATGATGGTCTTCCATCGTGGTATTCGGCATTTCTTGTGTTTCCTTCTCTAATTTTTAATGCAAATTTAACATTATGGAAGAAGAAGAATGAGGATGAAGAATTTTACAGCATTTCAACTCCCACCTCCTTAGAAATGTCTGATTTTTCAATGATTTTCTTCTCACGTGTCTTGTCATGTTTTCACAAATTAATATTTCACACGGCTATTCCTTTTGAAGATGTTTTGATACAATTTGATGAAGATTCTGATTTGGCATTTAACCTATGGAGTGACATGATGTGGAAAATGAGTTGTGACCATGATTTGATTCATTTCAATGAAGAGATTGAGTCCAGTAGTGGAAGTAGTAGAAAGAATAATATTTTGAATTTATATTCTCCCAAATTAAGACTTCATTTACAATTTACAAACAAGTATTTGGATCGTTCCATCATGGATCATGTATTAGAAAAATTACTTGATTCGAATAGGAATCATTTCTTACTCAAGAATGGATGTTTATTGAAATCGTTAACTTTACCAACTTGTAGTCGATTTCGAGAAGGCATGATTGAAGAATATCGAAATTATTTTCTCGATACTGTGGATGAAGGACTCTAGAGATGCATTGATGAGTGGAAAACGAATTTTCTTTATTGATTTATTGAACACTTTTGATGGATTGGAAAGTTTAAAAATTGGAAAAATTGTCGACGATGCAGATATTGATAGTGGTCTGCATTCTGAAACTTCTCGATCCACTCACGTTCTGTCACATGAATCCGTTCGAATGACACAATATTTTAAAATGTACCCATTCAAAAGTAATCGAGAATTTTCAGAGATTCGCCTCGTACTCACAGAAGATGAACAAGAATTGAAACGACAAGAAAAAGAACTCAAAGAAGAACGTCGAAGAATGGTTCTAAAGAAATTGCAATTGAATCGAAAAAAATCGTACAAATTGCGCACATGTCTTTATGATGGTTTGAAAGATCATGAAATTTCACAACTCTTACAAAATTACTCGTGTCAGTCCTCATTGAAAACACTTTTAATGACTCATACCTTACTTGAGGAGCATCTTGCAGAATTATTTTCACACTCCTCCATTGAAACTTTATATTTAAATGATTGTCTCATTGAAGGAAGCAAATTCTTGGAGGAAATTCTCATGCATTCACATGTCAAAGTTCTCTCCATGCAAAATGTGACATTTCGAAAAACAGCTCAAAAGAAAACAACTGCTTCTCTCAAAGTTTCGTCACCAAAAACTCGAACCATGTTCAGCGAACAGGAGGGAGAGCTCTTTAAAAAGAATTCGACGCTGGTGAGATTGGAAATTCATTCATGTCCCTCCCTCTTCGATGCTCGTTTTATGGAACAATTAAGTGAAAATTCGAGTATTCGATTTTTGACCATTCGAAATTGTAAACTATCGGATGACAAATTGAGACCCATTCTCAGAAATAATAAGACCATCGAAGAATTGGATATTTGCAATAATAAGGGAGGTTCTCTTACTCTTGCTCGCCTCATTGCCTTCCATTGCTATCGAGGAACAGAACGAATGAAAATTATTTCTGATTATAATTTGGTCTAGGAGTGGAATATTTGAACAGTTCGTGCAACGGTTAGAATAAGCTTAATTGGTCATGTTGCAAAGTTTCAACTCAACATTGACTCTTCGAATTGCTACTTTCATTTTTTAAATAGAAACTATAAATACGTGGACCAAGTTGGAATTCTGCAAATTTGTCTCTTGTTCATACTCAAAAAAGAAACCTACATTGCAATGTCCCTCAAATTCTTCGTTGCAGTTTCAGCTTCGAGCTGCCCTTTGTTTCATTCCAGTTTCATTTCAAAACCATAAATTTATTCCATGATTTCCATGATTCGAAACAAAGGGCAGCACTAAATTCTAAACTCTAAAAAAGGAAGTAGTTCCGCAGGTGGCAAGCTTCCCTGTTTCCTGTCTGTGTGCACAGAATTCGTAATGGTATACTACTGAGGGAATAGAAACTGCAATAAAAAACGATAATACTAGCCTGTCATGGGGTTTCGAAGGAAGCTCTGTGTTCACCTATGCATCTTCAGGGTGAGGAAACACATCTCTCAGAGTTCACAACAAACATACAATAAACATGTTACTGCTGTTCTTCAACACATTGTGATTCAAATACTTGTTGTTACTCTCCGAGAAATAATGTTCTCTTTCTCTCTCTCTTTAAAAAAATATCATCACGAACTCAAAACTCACTTCCATCATCACTCGACGGACGCCTTGATAGAACATGAAAAAGACACCCTTAATTGGTCTATGCTTGTTAGGATCGGGAGCTGTTGGAAAGAGTTGTCTAGTAAGTACCAGAGAGATTAATAGATGATGTAAGGAAACATGATTCCAACCATCATGATGATGATGAAATCATGGATTCAAACATGTTCAATGACTGAAAAGGCTGTTCAATATCATCACGGAATCTTTGAGGAAAATGATTATGATCCAACCATACAAGATGTACATCGTAAAAATGTAAGGCTTAATGATAAACGGGAATATTGTTTGGAAATTAGGGACACAGCAGGTGAGCCAGAGCTCCGAGGATGTAAGTAGCGGTGTTTCCTTGCAAAATTGATTCCATCATGTTGTTGTTGCTTTCTATGGTAATATGTATTCTGAACTAACTAATCGGATTGGCCCTCTTGCCATGACAGTACTTGAAGAAATAATTGAAACAAGTGAAGGCTTCATGATTGTGTACAGCGTTTTGGACAAGCGATCCTTTGAGGAAGTAACATTATTTCTCGATATGATTTGGAAAGTTCGAGGAAAAGAGGTGCCTATCATGCTGGTCGGAAACAAAATTGATACTCTTTCGGCAGAGCAGGCTCGAGCGGTGCCGAGAGAAGAAGCACAACGTTTGGCACAAACGTATCAACTCTTGTATCAAGAAACGTCGGCAAAAAGTGGTGAAAATGTCAAGTCAAGCTTCGTGACATTGGCCGAGAAAGCTAGAGACAATATGATTCTAACAGGCAAGCTCAAGAAGCCGAGTGGATGTCAAATCGCTTAATATACGTTTTGTAACATCATGTACATAAATACAAATATATAAATCATTAGTATAATGGTACCATTGATACATTAATGGCAGATATGGTATTGGATATATAAAATGTATTGTCACGTGCAAGCTCACGAGCATGTTACAAATGTAAAAGATTTTTCACAGTCTTAAAAGTTTCAATGGTGCTCACTGGTGAACCCACAGTGGATATGACATTCACGAGTGCTTGGTACAATTGACCAACAGTCACTCCCTTATTTCGCATGGAATTAACCAATTTTGCCAAATGATCATCAAGAGCTGGTGTTTTGAAGGTGTAGTAAATAAGATCTTTTCTTGCTTGAGAAGCTGCAACGTATTGAATGAGACTCTTCAGTTCTTTGTCTCCCATGAAAGCTCCACATCCTAAATTGTGATTTTTGAATCTTGAGTTTTTATAAACTGGTGCAAGAGAATCAACTTACCCTACATGTCGACATGTCACAATAATTCAGCAACATTATTTGATAGTGACACCCAAACAATTCAATGATTGGAGATTCATTTTACAGATATTAAGCTCAAGGTTCACATTAAGGAATGTAAAATGAATTGTAATACACATACCCAATTACCTGTCGAAATCTTTTGCTTACTTGAATGGCTGAAACCTACGTAAGCTTTAATAATTTCACGGTCGATCTTGGATTTTTGCCATTGAGAGAGCGCTGTGGTACGATTGAAAATGAGTGCATCGATTGCACTTGTTTCTTTCAGACTATTTCCAACAGAGTCCTTATTTGTGTCAATATAATTTCCACCATAATCGAGCGTATATGCATATCCCTTATGCAGCGAGAATTGTTCAGCTCCAGTAATGAGAATGGACTCATTATCAAGCATGACCTGACAAATCAAACGTACCACATTCATTTCTGGACACAATGAAAATTCAATTTCTTCTTGAACTATTGATGGAAAGAATGGAAATATATAATAGTCAAACAAAAGAATTTACCTACCACATCCATACGAAATGGATGCTCCTCCAATAAATTTGTTTGCGAAATCCATTTGAAGAGCATCTGGAGAGTCAGAAATGGATCCTTCACAATGTACTTCAATCGCTGTCAATGGCAAGTTACTATGTGAAAAATCAGGAAGAGTGCTAGCGTCGAGACAGGTTCTTGTGAATTTGATCTTTAAATTTGGATTTTTCTGAATGGAATCAAAACTTTCATGAATTCTGGCGAAATAATTCAACAACATGAGACATTTGGCTAATTTTGGTCTGCGCAAGTGTCACATTTCGTGTGCGTGTATATTAATGATATTCCATGATGATAGATTTGTGAATGGATTATTCAACACTCCTTGAAGATTGACTCACCTATAATTCGGATGTTCACAAAACATTTCATCATAATTAATGGAAGGAAAAATATCCCAAAGAGCTTCATCAGATCTTCTATTCCAAGTACAAAAGAATGAATTGGCCAATAGACAAGCAGCTCCAGCTTTTGAAACCTCCACTGTATCTGTCTGTCCTCTCTTCAAGTACTTGAGCGATTTTGAAGGCACAAACTGTTCTGTATTCAATACAAGACTCGCAACAAATGGCATTACCGTTTGCACAAAACTCTTCTCAGTCTGATAATCATCTGGATAATATTGTTCTTCAAATAAATCCAAAGCATGGTCCAAACACAGCAAATTTGGAAATTGATCAATTGCCTTCGTGTTGATCTTGTTGTTCTTATTGGCTATGATGGTTCCGATGATTTGAAGAACCAACATTTTGGTTACGGAATGGGTATTCAACAAGGGAGTGAGGGTGGATTGAATGAAATTCCAATGATTGTGCTCATATTCATAGGGAAGTTGAACAAACTCGGAATCCTCTTCTTGATGCTGAAACTTTGAGGAAGGCATTTTTTTGTAAAGAGTTCATCAAACTTTAGTTGAATTTCACACGGGTGGCCAACTCCTTCAGTAAAAATTAAATATTGTTTATTGGCCCTTCGGTGCCTCAATACTTGTCATAAAACAACATTGGACTTCATTTTCGTTTAGATACTACTTCTGAATGTCGAATGTTTTTAACAGGATATCAAATATTAACAGATTACATGCTTGTGTTGAGCAACTGTTAACATGGGTTGAGTCCATGATTCAAACAGAAGGCAAAAATAAAGCAGTGTTTTGTCTGTTAATGCATATGGTTTTCGTTGGTTTGTAAGGTTGAGTCGTCAATTATTGTAAAAAGGTCATGAATAGGTATATATAGTGTTGATGGATATGATATGTTAATAATGATATGTATCGATTACCAGCATTGTCTTCAAAGTTCTAAGTCACAACAATTAATAATGTTGAAGGGCGGAGAGCAGTCTTGGATCCAATATAAGGTGAGATGCTTCTTTCTTGTTCTTACATTCATTACACGTTTCTTATCGAATTGTTGATAGCACTGATCATCATAATACAAATATAGTATCTTGCCTTTTTGTCCATGATTAGTATGATCGTGAAGTTTGTTCTTTTGCTTTGTTTTTTCTTTTTGGCTTGGCTTTGTCGGTGGATGATTGTTTTTTAGCTTGTGTGGTCCTTCTTGTTTTGCGAGGTTTGTTCTTTGGCTTGTATTCTTTTTCTTGTTTTGATGGAGTTGGTTGATTCAATGTTGATAATGTATTCTCATCTTTCTCAACTGGTGGATCGTTAGTTTTCTCAACTGATGGATTTTCTCTAAAGGTGATTGCGTCACATAGATGATGTTGTAAAGATTGTAACAAGTGATGCGAATGATCTAATGGCTTCCGTGCCTTTTCTTCGCAATTTCTGTTCTCTTCATTTCGTATATATTCATTAAGTTTGGCGTTTAATTGTTTGAGGGTAGCTGAAATGTAATTCGCTTGTTGTTCAATTCTTTCCAAACGTCTTTCCAGGCTGTGGAGCATGCAAGAGTCAATTCTGATGTTCATCTTGCGGTATTTTTTAAGGGCTCGACTTTTTAACAAAAATATTTCCTATTCATGTCGGTCATCTATGCGAAACTATTAAAATCGACAAGTTTGCAATAGCTCCAAGGAAATGGGCTGTTGTAGTGTGGAATGTGAATCTACTGGTTTAGATTTTGTTTGAGTGTGTCAATGAAATCAACAGGTCATGCAGAGATGAAATTCAGAAATTGAAACGAACTGCAAGTCGTTTGGAGAGTCTCTTCAATGTCTTCGCAGGTCTTGCATCAGTGAATTGTCAATTTCCAAAATTATCAAATACATCCACAGAGAGTCTCGAGAGTAAAAATCACCCTTTTGACTCGCAACGAACATTCTTGTCTCTCATTTGTGTGACTCGATGCCAAACGTCAAACCTCAAAGTGCCAGTTTTTTGCAACAACTATTGACGGTGAGATGTCTTTTCCTATTTGTTTTGGTGGTCACAAATCAAACCATTATGAATTTAATACAAAGAAAATGACAGAAATTAGAGATCAATTCAAACGAACTTCTTATGGAGATTATGTTTTAGAAGTGGTTGGAGGTTGTAGTGATGGATTAGCTGGTAATTATCAATATGCAACCTCTCATACTAATGAAAATTATGTTCACCTTTTTGATTGGTCTCATTTGCTCAAACGGTTGAGAAATTGTTTATTGAAAGGGGATGATTTGATTATTGAAAAAGAGAGTTTTTCTATGAATACATTATTGAAGGTTAGAAATGAACCCCAACTGCGAGACTGGGTATCGGAAAATATAATTTACCCAGTCGACATTATGAAAATGGAACCTGTTTTTGCATTGATAGATTCTAATGTTATTAGTGGAATTGAACAAAGCAAGCAAATAGGATGTTGTGCATTAGCAAAATATTTAACGTTAATGCAACAAATACATCAAATTTTTGACGATGAACGATGTTCAAACTGGAATGAGAAAAAACAATTAATTGAATCTGTACTGACAACACTTAAGGAATGGAAAGATGCAAATTCTAACATCATAGTGACGAATTGTATTCTCATATTGTGATGACTATGACTTCACTTCGTTCTCTTTTTGAAAAATATGGAAACCATACTCAAATTAAGGCTTGTGGAATTTCGACATTAATTGTTGAACATTTTTTTCCTTAATTCGAGGAAAAATACGATACCCTAATTTTCGAGATTATTGTGGGATCTATCGAGCCGTATGGATTGCTTTGAAGACGAAATTGGCAAAAAAATTCTCCAATTAATGTCAATCAACAATCAACCACAAAGTGTTATGGAAATTGTAACGTAAGCTTAGACTATTCTGAATTACATCGAAAACACTATGTAAAGAAACACATTCTTCAAGAAGACGATGAGGACACGTTGTTAGAGAAAGATCAAACTATTTCTGAAGAGATGTATGAATATGTGCTCGATGTCACTCAAGATTTTCTTCCACAGAAAAATGTAATGCTGATACGAGAGTATTTATGTAAACAAGCACCAGTCGCGGATGATGGAACTATTATGAACAATATTTTTCTCAGCTGCCCTGAATGTAATCAAATAATGGTCCCACAACGATCATTCATTAAGCACTTACAATGTCACAATTATTCACCTCTGCAATGCAAAGATACACTGTACAACACAATTATTATTTCACTCAAATCTCGCCAATTTGGCCAACATGTTGAGGGTATTGTTGAGGGTATTGTTGAGGAAATAGCAACCAAATTGGTAACCAATACCTTTAAGCAAATTCGAATTCGAACAGAACCTGAATTACCAAAAGAATCAGTTATTACATTTAATTCAGAAAAAGGATTATTTGTTCCATCTAACGAGAAGCAATCACAAGCAGAAAATATTTCAACATCAAATATCGCCACCATCGACTCTATTTCAGAAGATTCAACTCAAATGTCAGAAACTTCACCTCAAAACAAATATGTATTTTTTGATATTGAAACGACTGGATTATGGAAGAATGATGATCCACCAAAAATTACGGAATATTGTTTTGTGGACGTTTTGACTGGAGCTGTTTTGTATGGCTTAGTTAATCCTGGAAAAGTGATTTCTAACCAAGCACAATCAATTACAGGACTTAACTTGAATAGTTTAAGATCAAAATTGCCTATTGAAGGGCATGTGAATGATATTATCCAATTTAAACAATAACTCTCAAGGAAAAACTTACTTAATAGCTCATAATGGAGACCGTTTGGATTTTAAAGTTTTTGCCAAAGAATTTTTCGGAAAGTTTTCTGAATTTAATCATGACAATATTGTCTTTGTTGATTCTCTCCGATTAATGAAATCAGAATCGACTTTACACAATTGTCTTCCTCTTAAAATGACAAAGAAAGGGAAATCTAAACCAGTTTTTGCTGAGGATGTATTAATTGAACACTTTAATTTAGGAAATGTCAACAATTCACATTGTGCATTTTATGATGCTATTGGATTGCTTAATATTTTGATCAAGTTTTATGGTAATCTCGACGATGCATTGAAAGCTGTCGAGTGCTTCAATACCAACCAACTTAAAAGGAAAAGAGAGAAAATTAATGACAATAATGATGATGAACACAAAGCAAAGAAGAAAGTTGGATGTAGATGTAAAAAAGGAAATTGTTTGAATTGTAATTGTGCCAAGCTTGGAAGAATATGTGATGCAACTTGTGGGTGCAATTCAGAAATTTGCAAACGGAGACAGTGCCAAGTTTGTTCCAACTACACGGAACTAATATTGTGTTCCTGTTGTTCTGATATTGTTTGTGAGCGATGTTCTTACAATGGAGAATGTCAACGATGTTCGATATTCATAGTTTATCATTGCAAATGTTGTCACAGACTAACCAATGCCGTTTCTAAATGCCTTCAATGTCAAAATTCAACATGTTGCAAATGTTACTATGACGGCCTTTGTAAGATCTGCCATCCAAACATGCCAACATTGCTGTGCAATTCATGCCACAAGCCTTGTTTATCACTAACCCCATGCAAGGATTGTGGCTTGAAAGTATGTAATGACTGTTTGAGAGAGAGATGGTGTCGATCATGTGATTGTGATGAGGGGGAATGGTTGTCTTCAACTCAGTCACAATTCCAGTCCTCCATGGACGTGACAAATTTTTAAGAAGTAGCTACCATGGCTCTTGTAATGCCAATTCAACATATTGACGCACCAATAGTGATGTGGTGTTTCCTTTATGTGTCAGAAACAACCAATTGCATTGGCAGGTTTTGATGGATTGAAACCATCATAAAATCATCCTATGATCGTTGTGTTATTAAAATTCCCAGCGAAAAGTTTTCTCGTAGCTTGAGGTGTTCACGAAAAAATACGCTCGAGTTGTCCACCCGTGGAATTTCAAGATATCCAGTTCTTGAAGATGAGAGTTCATCACGACCTATTGGATATCACATAAGGTGGATGAAATCGTTCTTAAATCCATTCCGAATTTACCCTATTGTGCACATGATTGGAAAGGGAGGATCTGTCACTCCCAAACATCTGCTGTCATCGTGTCAAGAACAGTTTATCTCAAAAAAATTTTTTGTTGTTGTGAACTCGCTCTCATCTCAATATCGTTTTCACGTCATCCTCCACACAACAAACGGCAGCACCATCATCATGATCAAATCATCTTCCTTCCTTTTATTATTCACCATTATTATAGGCATCATTATTTGTGACTTGTCCTCCCATCACGTGAATGCCAAATGTCCCAACCTTCCATCCTGTAAAACTCCAAAACCCAATTTCAAACCTTCTTACAACGGCTGTGGACCTCGTCAATCCGAACTCATGAGACGTTTGGGAAGTATTCTCTTCGACTCATTCACTCCATGTTGCAATGAACATGACATGTGTTATGAAACTTGTGGTCAAGTGCGAGAAGATTGTGATCGCAAATTGTACGAGTGTATGAAATCCACCTGTAAGAAATTGTATTCGAGTTCATTTGCCAAGAGATCTTGGTGTCTTGTGAAAGCAGAAGGAATTAAGATGGGATTGGAACCTGATTCGGATGTCGCTTGTACGGCCTTTGCTGTAGCTCAACAAAGAGGTTGTGATTGTCCTGACGATGGAGATGAGGAATAAATTTCAGTTCTTTTTTGTATGAATTGACCAAGAAGGCCTTCTCAAGGTGGCTAGATTATGAATTCAGATGATGACTGAAACATATTATTAATGATGAACTGTCATTTAACAAAAAGTTTTTACAGAAATATCCACAAAGGCTTGTCCTTCTGCAGAATCACTCTCAACATCGAGATAGGAAAACAAGACTTCTTGTTCTTCGTACGTATTAAATAGATAATATTTGAATGGATAGAGTGCTCTGTTCAATCCAACATTGACATAGAATTTTCTCTTGTTGTAATCGAAGGAAATGGTGGGACAAAAGGTACCGAAATAGTCGTCCCAAAAATCCTTCTTCCATACTTGTTGACGTTTTCGTGTCTCAACAACCACTCCATTCTTGACGAAAGTGATTTCTCCAGTTTTCAGGGACCATGCAACACCAAGTGTGTCTGTTTAGTAAATTGTAGAAAAGATGAGAATTATAGAATGTTAAAAAATTCATGACTGCTAAACATGCAAGATGTAAAAGGACCACTCACCTCCAACGTGTCCTTTTCCTGCAAAATTGCGATCGGTATTCTCGGGCATGTTATCATACACACGACCACAATCGCAATGGTAACCGATACTATTTCTATACCAACCAACCATTCCTTCACTGTATTCAAATGGAGCCATTCCTATTTAAAACAAATATCGTTTCATGAAATCACAAAGGTTCCAAAATAAATTTCAAGAAGTTGCATATGTGTTAAAAAATAAAAAGTGACAGCGAAACTTACCACAACCAATCTCACACACTCCATCACTTCCGTACATATTCGAATAGCCAGAATCCAATACTGTATATTCACAATAAAAGTAATAACCTTCATATTTGCTTGTTTTGCTTTGACTAATATTATAATTGGATTTTCTTCTGAGCTCAGAGGGTATGATTTGCAAACAAAGATAGGGATGCAATTGAATGCAAATGCGCTTATTAAAATAGTATTCGTAAGGCATTGTGCTCGCAGGCTTTTCAATTCGAAGCACCGAGGGAATGTTTTCTAGAATGGGTTCATTGTTTGTTATTGTATCGTTTCGTGTTATATTACAAGTTTGCTGTTGTTGTTGCGGTTGAGAATTTGGTGTCACACTACTGTTCTTCGTATAATGCTGATATTCACGTGAGGTAGATTGTTGCCATCCGAACTGAACTTGGCCTGCTCCTTCAACCGTAAAATAATGTACAATTGGAACAAGAAGATGTGAGAATCTTCTCTCTCGTTCTTTGAGTTTTTCAGCAATGGACAGTAGTGCTCCTTTTATCATATTGTCATAATTTAAATCTTGTATTCCATCAGGCAACAAATGAAACATGTATTGCTCAAGTAACCGCGAGGGTAATTGTTCAAACATTTTTCTAATATTCTCTGTATTTGGAGTAAGAGAAATTGTCGAATTCACATCGATTTGCATAGTACTTGATGAATTGCTAGAATTATGATTATTGATTGCATTTGTTTTCATTGAACATGATCTATTCGTTGCATTTTGATCAATGGACGATAGAATAATTCTAAGAGGAAATCCTAGCTGAGCAGTTTTCTTTTGAAATAAATCAATGCTTCCACATCGGTACAAGAAATAATTAAAATTCGGAGTGTGGTCATTACTCGCGGAACACGACATATCCGTGTTGAATCCATGATGATTCAAATAAGTATTCGGAACAAATTGGTTTAAAAACAATGGGATGGGATCCCTGATCATTGGAAAGTAATCTTCCATTTCTTGCTCCTCTTCATCTTCTAAATCCTGCAATGTAATTCCCTCTTGATCAAAAAAATTGTTCTCATGATTGTCATCATCTTCATAATAATTCAATTCCGGAGATAAATCCATTTCATCATTATTTTCCTCATGGTCATCAATATTATTGTTCCGAACGAAATCATTGTCCTCATGATTCAAAGATCTTTCTTGCGACATTTTTTTTTCTGCGATTTGCAAGCTGTGGTTTGTTATATTTTTTTTTTTCCCAAAATAATGATTTTCGGAAATCAAGACTCTGATTCAAAATCGAAGAGATTGTCTTCTTCTTCTCCAAGATTCAACTCTTATGATCCAATTTTTTAATTGTTGAATCATTTGACTGTTGAATCTGTCAATTAGTCAATTAAGGGAATTACAAAAAATGTCACCAACAGACACATCCAATGATGACCAGATCGCATCGTCGGAACATTTCTCTCGGATCCTGACACCTTTTCCTTCCCGACAACAATTCATCACCAACAACAACAACAACAACCACTCGAAGAACAAAATCGAAAACTCCAAATTTTACTCTCTCATTCATTACAAATGTTACAACAATACAATCATCAATTGTTTCAAGATATTGCTCAAGTAAAACATCATCTCATTCATGATTTAAAATTATTATCTATCGATCGTGATGATGATGATTTCAATGTGAATGATGAATCCTTCCGAACGACCTTTCATCACGAACGAACACTCTTCTCCAACAATCAATTTTGGAATTCCACTCTTTCGACACGATTGAATCGAGAATTCTCACAAATTTCTCGTTTGGGTTCGGGTGGATTTGGAACAGTGGTAAAGGCACGACATGAACTCGATTCCAAATTCTATGCCATTAAAATTATTAAACTTTCATTGTCGTCACCACTAACTTCATCATTCACTTCAACATTCACCTCACCATTAATTACTTCACAACAAGATCAACAAGAAACAGATCCTGTCATGAAAGAAGTGGAATTTCTCTCCACTCTCCATCATGAACATATTGTTCGATATTACAATGTGTGGAAAGAACATGTGCCTGATGAAAGATTGTACATTCAGATGGAATATTGTGAGTCCACATTGAGACAACTCATTAACATGAAATTAAATCGAGCATTGGCGTGGACATATTTGGAACAAGTGTTGAAAGCGTTGGTGTTTTTGAGTGAACAAAATATAACTCATTCCGATTTGGTAAGTGTGTGACAGAAATGCATTCGTTCATGTACAGCAACTTTGTGGAATTTTTAATATTTAATTTAACATTCATTTGCATGGAATATTGAACTCATTCAAAATATTGCATGATCTATTGATATATTCACACAAATAGAAACCTGAAAATATTCTCATCAAAAACGACATGATCAAACTCGGAGATTTTGGACTCTCGTACAATCACAAACATGAAACGGCAAAACACGATCGAGGCTCTTCATTATACATGAATCAGGAACCGAGAGAAAATAATCCAAAATTCGATATTTTCTCTCTTGGAATGATTTTCTTTGAAATGTATGTGAAATGATATTGTGTGAAATTTCACAATGGTGTTGTGTGCGCGTGTGCATTTACTATTTATTTACTTTCATTTTATATTCGTTTACTTTCATTTTCTTTTAATATTGGAATGTTGGAATTATTGAACCTTAAAATCTTTCTAATCATGATGAAATTCCTTCCAGGTTAACTGCAAAAAGCAAACGATCCAACAACGACAAACGAAAAGATCTCAAACTCTTAAAAGACAATCCCTCCACCTTTCTCTCTTCCCTTTGTGAAAATTCTCCCTATGATTTATATCCAATGGAAAAATCCCTCATTCTCAAAATGCTTGAACCCAATTTTACACAAAGACCTTCTGCCAAAGATCTTCTCGACGAAATTCATCGAATTCCCTTTCAATGCCCAACATGCAGCAATCATTCCATCATGATGGGCCTAGCTCCTTGGATTTCTCATCTCAATGGTCAACTTCATAACAAAGAACAATACATTTCACAAAATTTACAAACTATGGAACCTGTTGCGAGATTGAATTGGTTTGTTTCTAAAAAACTTGGAGGATATGTTTCATTTTCAAAAGGAGTCATGCAAGAAGGTCCACCACATCGTTCCATGTTTTCACAATATTTGGAAATTTACATTCCTGGATGTGAAAAAAGTCCAATTTTCGTGGAAGGTCCTAAACGATTGAAAAAACAAGAGAGTAAGAATGCTGCCTGTGAGAAGGCATTCAAAATGATTTGCAATTATCCAAAAGTGTTGGAGAATAATGATGAATCGTTGTTGGTGAATGAACAACTTGAAGAAGATGAAGGACAAACAAGAAAATGAATTTGTTTTCATCGAGTCACAACAACATTTCAAATGTTGTCTGTTATGGATCCACATTCACAACAACAAGAATTCCATACAAAAAGCACAAGTGAAATCCTGTTCATTCATATTGAATGCACAACATTGGAATTTTGGCAACAGTTCACAATGGAACTCTCTATAATGCCAAGTCTCAAATGTTTCCGAATTGAAAGTTCACCTTCGTCTTTTGGTTCTTAGCCATAACTGATGATGCAAATGGATTCAAAGTTTCTTGTGAGAAAACTCGCGTGTGGTTTTGCTTACAATATCGCCTTTGGCATCCTTTCTGCACGTTTAGAAATGATTCTTGCCAGTTACGGTTACTATTGACATTCGTGTGAATTATTAGCTAATTCAGATAGGAAATTTTCAAAATGGTAAATGAAAGATGATTCATACAATCGAAAAGTAAGACAACTAAAATGAAAGAGTCAAAAGGGCGTTCCCACTTTTCTTAAAATTGACTGGTGACAGTTATGCATTTTTCACACAAAAAAACTCACAAAATCACCTCGCACAAGAATGACCACTACTCCAATGTCTTTCAACGGAATCTACGTCCGTGATAGTCAAAAGACCTATAACAGCTATAATACTACACCAGATACACTTGGACCATTTTTCTACATGCAATACAACGGTGTTGTAGAAATCGAAGGTAAAAATCATAATGTTTTTTAAATATTCGAATTGATGATGAAATAATGTTCGTTCCTATGATTTGTTACATCATGATGGTATTGATAATTTCATACATTTCCAATTATGGCTTGTCCTTTCTTTCCAAATATATTTTTTGATATCCTGCTTGATCGTCCTATCTTCACATATGAACCATCAACCCTTTCATATATGAAACATAATTAGGCCAAGCTGGAGTTTTAAGTTTTTACACTCCAAACGCTGGTCAATTGACTAGAACTCCATTCATTTATTTTGTACAAAATCCAGATGTATTCCAAAGAATCCAATTATGTCCTGTCTAGTAAGTTGAATGATTGCAATCTGTCACACCTCGGTGTACCATCCATTCATTCATGAATGGTTCATTCTTCTTCTACATTCGGGTTTGTGAATTGTTGTACAACAATGTAGTACTGTGAATACTTATCCCACCTATGTGCAAGTGATTGATTTCTGGGGAAATGGTGAACTCGGAAGAACTCCATCGCATTATGTAAGTGATCTCTTGTGTTTCTTTCAACATTGTTTAAACTATGTATACCCATCTTTGTCACATTTAACACATATAATTGCATTTATTTTTTATACAACTATTCCATTGTTTGAATTGGATCACTTTTCATATATTTGTCAATGCTTAGGTCTGGTTTTACTCCTTTGCTGGTCATTATGGCACCACTGCCACCACAAATGTCACCACAAATGTCACCACAAATGTCACACCAACAAGTACTTCTACAGCATTGATGAGAAGTAGTTCTCTTCCTCAAGAACTTAATGCAACATCTCTTCCTGAAAATGTGAATGTCAAAGACATGATTCGAATTCGTTTCAATGACAAGACTGGTGAATGTGAGTGTGAAAGTGAAGATCACAAAGAATTATTTGAAACCAAGATCAAACCCATGTTGGTCGTTCCAAAGGATCAAGTTCCTCAATATCTACCAAATAGAATGAGTGATGAGGAAATGAAACAACACAAAAAGAAATGGGAACATGAACAAGAGAATAAGAAGAAGGAAGAAGAAAAGAAACATGACAAAAAGGAACAACATCATGAGGACAACGAGCATGATAAGAACCAACCTGAAATAAGTAGAGATGGTGTTGCATCGGCATCCACCTCCACTCAAGATCTAGCTGTCACTTCCACTGATCAAACTGTGACTGCACTGTCAGCTGTCACTTTCACCACCTCTTCCACAACTAGCCCCTCTCCCGGTTCCTATGTCTTGCCAGATTATTATCAAGAAAATTCTGGAAAGAGATGGCAACTCTATGATGTTTGGTATACTGGATTCAAACTTCAAAACACTGCCACAGGTGATAATCGAACTGCCACTGCTGCTTGGGAATGGGACTCCATAAAAGGAAAATATGTCATTTATTTCAAGTTCTTTGATCCTACTGGAAATACCTTGCAATCCATGTTGAGAGGATTGAGTGATAATATGTTTAATGTGCAATTGGATAATGGTGATTACTTTGCTGGTGGTTACAATCCTTAAATGTCGAGATATTGATGATGAATGATGAATTTGTATCATTTGAATTTAAGATTAGTAATAGTAGTAGAAGCATTTTAAGCACTAGTAAAGGAATTGCAATTCTATGTTGAGTTGTAACACACAGATTCATGAATTGCAACTTTGTTGTCGTTTCTCTAGCAAAAATTAAATACTTGATGAAAAACCCGCCAAAATTTACGGCAGAATTTAAAAAAAAAATTCTTTTGAAAATACAAATTAAATCATCCAATGATGAATAAGCAACGAATGATGTCTCTCTCCCAAGAGACATATCAAATGGATCGGAAGAAGGCAGTGGAGGGAGCAAACAACTCCAATGTTGGAGCATGTTTGATTGAGGAAGATATGAATCCGGTGGGTCCGAAACTGGGAACGTCGGATCTCAATTCAAGCAAATTTGGAAATGGTTTTCGTCGAAGACAACAAGAAGTAATACAACAAGATAAGGAACGAAAAGAAAACGAAGCCGTGTTGCAGCAGAGAAAGGAAAACCGAAGAGAGTATAGAAAGGCTTTTCTCGAGCAAACAAAATTTCAAACCAAAGTCAACATCATCACTGGAGATAATTTACCTGACGACACTCCGAAATATTCGAAAAAAGTTTTCGACCATCATAACCGAGACGAAATAACAAAACCTTACGTTGAAAAGAGAAATCCCATTAAGGAAAATATAATAGCCAACGATGGTCTCCGAAAACCGAAAGAATATAGCGTGAAACAATACTTTCAAGATTATTCCTCCTATGAAACGAATAAGCGTATGTGACATGCTGAGTCATTGTCAAATCGCATCATCATGGCATCAAAACAATCATTCCAGCCAACGTTTCCAAGCAACAATAATCAAAGTACCAATCCTTAAATTAATTTATTCACTTTGATAATTTATTAAGCAGTGGTAGTAATACATGGTGGCACAGTATGCTCATTAATTGATATTAATAGATGGCACATTGTCATTGTCACTTCTCTTTGAGAAGGCGGTAGTAACACGTTGACGAGCTTGAAGTGACAATTGAGGTGGTGAACCCAATTTACCCACAATACTCCTGAGTTGTTCATAGCTCTCCACTAATTGTGTAGCATTTTCATTGCTCAACTCAAAGTAAGCAAGAGTTCCTGTTGTATTCTTCTTTTTAACTTCCTGTAATAATGGATAAATTGTGGAATCATTATCATAAAATAGAACATGAATATTGTAGAGAGACCACAACAATCGATCATTATTCTCCTCACTCAAAGTATTATCAGTGCTATCTCGTAAATTCATGTCGTCTCCATTCACATCACAAACTTCATCCAAAAAGGCTCTCAAATTTGATTTTTGCTCTCTCACAAAATCATTGGCTGGAATCATGAAAGCTTCCTTCTTTTCGCTGAATTCTGTTTCATTGGCTGTTTGCTGTAAAATCTTGGAAACAAGCATAAGAGTACGTTGAGCATTCTTTTGAGGTGTCGTGCTCACAAGTTGGAACAAATGAGGAGCCGTAATGCATGGAGTGATGAAACGTAAAAAGAGTAATGATGAGGCAGCAATGGTACCCATGCTTGTACTGTCCATTTGAGTAGAGATATTGTCAAAGTCATGTGTCACTGATGCTACATTTTCATACTTTTTGAATACTTGCTCACGGAGATGCGATGTAATTTGTCGAATATCTTTGGGCATATCGCTCACAGATTGTCTAATGGCTTGCATGTACTGTTTAGAATATTCAATAATTTCGTTCATATTCTCCTTGGCCTTCACTTGAGGATCGAATGAAATGGAACCTTCACTCTCCTTTCGAATCATATCCGGTGAGCATTCCAAATACTTGTTCTCTTCACAAATCTTTTGTGTGAGTTCTTGAAGAGTTTTCTTGAGATAGTCCTGACCGAATATTTTCAAATACATGCCAACTAGTTTTGTGCTGATGGAATTGGATCTGAGAAGTTGAGAAATTCTGAGAGTTTTTTCAACCTCCAAACGGATGATATATTTCATGACTGAGACATTGAATTCTTCGGTCCTATTATTCTGATCAGTCTCTCCATAGGTTGTCAAATAGATGAGTGACTTGTAAATCTTGTCATCAACATTCAACTTATTATTGTCAAACAATCCAATGAATGACGATGGTTTGAGAGAAAGTAAGAATTGTTTCAATGGTGTATAGAAACCAAGATTTGTAATCTTCTTCAAATATCCCATACTTCCACTTTCAGAGCTTGTAAAAGTACATTGCAAGTGAATTCGACCTGCAAAAGAATCTTTTGAATTTTTCAAGTCAAGCCAAAAATCATGTTTCTCTTCATCGGCCAACTCTTGACAATTGAAATCGGCACTACCAATAAGCTCAGCCTTACTGAGTCTATTTTCATCATAGACCGATACATGAAGTACTCTAGAAATATTTTTCACAATAAATGTGAATCGAGCATTCCACTTGGGATTTAACTCTTTCCAAATGACTTCAGTTCTCACTTCTTGATTTTCAAATTTGAGAACTGCAAATCCGTCTGAAGTGTCACCCAAATCTTTTGCTTCCAAATTAGAGGCTTCAATAACTTCCACAACGAGTGTTGAGATTTTGTTTGGTTCCACCGTGTAGATGGTCTTCTCATTGTGCTCCGATTCGAGAGATCCTCCATTTCCAGAGAAGGCGCCATGAGATCCAACTGAGAGACCTCCATTTCCAGAGGAAGTGTTCGAAGAGTCACTAGCAACCATGACTGAAGCAGATCTTCTTCGAATGAGATTGAAATCTTCAGCTCGGAGTGAATCATTACGTTTGTGACCACCGTGTCTCTTTTTATGTTTGTCATCGGAGGATGTTGAATGGTCAGAGCCGCCACTGCCACTTGCAGAACCAGAATTGTTGGAAGATTGGCTTGCAGAAGATGTACTGCTCGTTTCCGATGATGAGCTTGCATTGTCCTTCTTCTTATGTTTCTTTTTACTTTTAAGGTAACTTTCAACGTCAATGCCAGTAGATCTGCAACAGTGACATTTGACAGATCACCACAAGAAATTTGATGAAAATATAATCCATATGGTTCATGCAAAAATTCATATATAACATATGAATGAATATTCATGATCATTTTTCACATTTTTCACAAAACTTACTGTTCAATCCACGAAACCATTGGTTCCAATTCCTTCTCATTTAACAATCTAAATTCCATCGCAAAAAACAAAAAATGTTTAAATGCAAACAAAAAGTTGGTCTCCATCTTTCTCTCTTTCACTTCATTAAAATGTTGATGAAAAACATGTGCATATACTCGGAAAATCTTTTTTGACATGTCTTTCACAATTTTACGAAAATCTTTTGGAAAATCTCCACTTGTTGAAAAGATGGTCGTGTCATTCAATAAATTTTCAATCTTGTCAATCGAGAGTGCAATATATTCTGGAGCTGAAACTTCTGTTGCTTTTTTATACTTTTTTGGAACTTGGGTCTCGCCACAGATACATGTAGCCAGGACTTGACATCATTTTGGGACATGATTCATCGGTGCAGCATTCTTGCATTTGACCAAATATGGCATTAATTTTGTTGTACTGTTCGTGATCATCATGAAGAGAAAATGTAATATTCATTGTGTGAAATTGAATGTGTGGATGACGTCAGTCAGTGGTTTTGAAACATATCACTAGAAAATTTTACCTACAAAATCAATCATGTGAAACGAAATCCATTCATTCACATTCTCTCCAGGTGGTAATTTCACACTCTCTTGAACCACCAAATCCGTATAAGAATCCTGATTGAGTGTCGATTCAAGTTTTTTCGAAAGTTCTAAATGATGTGAAGATTGAACATTTTTAACAGGTTTGAATGTTTTGTTTCGATCGAAGGCGCTACTATTGTGATGAAATTATTATTATTCGATTATTCAATATCAAATGCGTGGTCATTTGACAGGAGTATCCGATTTTGATGATTTGTGATGATGATTAAACAATCATCCGAGTGTAATCGAGAGAAAGTCATAAACGGAGCAAATGTCATCCATGATGAGGATGATGATGATGGTGGTTCAAAATTTTAATAATCATGAGAGAGATCATGATCGGATGAAGAATGATTCATTTGACCACGTGTGCGTGGATCGGACAAAACCATTTGACAAGTGAATGTTGATGATGACGGGTGGATCAATTAGAGGAGAGTCCATAATATCCACAACGACAATTGTATCCATCATGATGATTGTCGAGATGATGAGATTTCCAAGTCCATCACAACAACCATTTCCAAATTTTGATGAGTGGTTCGAGAAGAAGGTTTCCAATTTGAGTACACAAAGAAGAATACAAATCGATCAATGAAGTTAGGGAGATGAAGTCAAAATATGAATGTCAACGACACAACAAGTATTCCTTTTTGATACCTACAAGATGCTTGGCATTTTTTTTGCTGTTTGTGATTTTTGGCATGTCAAATTTCATCGCTCAGTGATTGCTTATAGACAAATTGAGTTTGTTGGAGCGACCTGGATTCATGTTTTCACAACATGCTGACCTTGAGTTGACAATCAATGTGTATGGACAAAATAATTAAATAGAGTGTTTATTGTTAACATATGTCAACACATGTTATGTGACAAGAGTTGTTGAAAATCGAAGTGTTCATTGGAGGTAAAATGGTTATCAAAATCGCTAGGTTATTAGGTTTCTTATTTAGGTACAGCCATTACATATTTAAAGCTGACTTTTCGAAGTGGTGTTTTTCCGTCCTCTTCATCATCCTCAAATTTCAAATAATAATTCTTAGAATTCTTTGTTGGTACAGTGTCAACAATGGCAGGATAAAAAGTTGTAGTGTCAGGAAACACAGCAAACACCTTATCTCCCTTTTTGAAGGGCTTGTGTTGTGAAAAATCTGTTGGTAACTGTACAATGTGATTCTTATTAAGCTTGTAGGTTTTACGGTCTGAGCTAGAAGACTCATCGTCACTGTTATCCTCGTCAATAACATCATATCGATTCTTATCGGGATAATATTTGAGAATTGAAGCCAAAATCCAAAACCCAGAATCTCCGCTCTCCTCACTTGCTCCACTAATTCTAGCGGCTACTTTGGACTTGACAGGAATTCCTTCATCGAGCTGTAAGTATTTATCTGTCGTAATGGGTTGAGCCTCAGTCTTTGTATGTTCAGCTGCAGGTTCTTTTGTTGATTTTGCACCTTTGGTTTGTCTCTTCTTTGTGGTTCTTGTTGTTTTGCCGGCTGGTTGTTTTTCGGAATCGGAAACGTTTGCTGCTGTGGCTGAAGCCATTTCCTCATCCTCCTCGTCGATCTGCATGGTGTCAGTAGAGGTGGTGGCAGGTGGAGTTGTTGTTTGTTGTGGTTGTGATGGTTGAGCACTGGATGAAGCCTCCACAGGCAATACATCGGCTTGTTGTGTTGTATCGGCTGTTGTTACTTGTTGTGTTAACATTCCACTTTCTTTCTGCTTTTCCTCTGCCTTCTCCACTAACAATGAAAGCTGGGCTAAAATTACAATGATTAAACTGTTGATGTAGGTATTGATTTTGATATGGACAACAAATGTGTTGTAACAGCACACAAGAAGCAAACGTTGTTGTTGTTGTGGTTGATGATGGCACAATAATTGGAGGTATGAAACATTTACATGTTGAAAAGTTTCACGAGAAAACATGTCCGATGATGAGTCGCGATATGATCAAAATGTATCAATCAAAATATTCACCATTTCAAAATATATATCACGAGAAATTGATGATGAATAATTATTGAGAAACAAATTTACCCGCTGCTACTGGAGCATGAATTCATCAATACTTACTCTTGTTCCTTCTTTGTATTTTCAAAGAATTCGGCATATATTTGTCGTAATTCTTCATTCACCTCCAACTTTTCTTCTCCCGAACGTATTTTAGCATGTTTCTCATTGATCTTTTGCTGTAATTCAGTGAGCCTTTTTCTAGTTCCTCTGAACGTCGTCATATCGTTGCATATCTTCTTAGTCAAACGAACCGATTTATATGGAAAAGAGGACTCAACCACATTGGATTGAGAGCCGTTAGTTTTTGATGAAGCTACCTTCATTTAAATATTAAATTGATGATGATGATGATGATGGTGATGATGATGGATATGAGGCTTGTTGTTGATAATGTTGCTGTGGCCAAAAAGATGCGAAAGATGATTAGACTTAGTACTCCGAGAATGGAGGATATCGATTGTGGATTTTTGAATTTTTTTTGAAAAATAAAAATTGCGATGTTCTTTGATGGGCCGATAGGATGAGTGTCTCTTCTTCTTGTCTTGATCGGACTCTCTCTCTGAGCAAGGACCAGCATGTACGTATTGAAGAGAATCATGAATATCAACACGTATTGAAGAGAATCATGAATATCAACATGAACCTGCTCAATTCAATTTTACCTTTCGCCAACAATGATGGCCATTCAACATTCCAACCGACTGATTCATTTCAGGACTTGAATTTTCAATTTCTCTAGGTAATTCTCGTAATGTTCAACCAAAGGAAATCAGTTGAAAAGCGGTTTTGAGAGATGAGAATTACCACTGAAAACCACCGAATGGAACTCGGAAAGAAGTTGGATTGCCAATTTATTAATAATCAATTCCCATCTCTCTCTGAGAACACAGAATTCACTGCTCTCCAGATAATATTCCATAAATAGTCGCCACAACTGTTGTTCAATTTTCAAACAGAACCACAAAAAAACACTTGCATTTCAACAACACACACGTTTCATACAAAATCATCATGACTGATCAGACCAACAACACCAACACCTATCCACAAGAATTTTATTGTCCCATCACACAAGAGATCATGTACGATCCGGTCATTGGAAAAGATGGACATACCTATGAGAGAGAGGCCATTAAGAAATGGTTGGAAGAACACAATGTCTCTCCCATGACCCGTGAACCTATGCGTGCCGATCAATTGGTATCTAATATTGCTCTTCGTAATACGATTGAACAAATCGTGAATGCTTCTGAGAACTTGAATGGTTCCTCAAGCAACCAAGGTCCTCGATCGACTCAAATGGTTTCCTCTCCATCTTTAAACACGAGATCTTCTCCAATGCATATGAATACAGATATTGAATTGTCTGTGAAATCACATCTTAGAAATGAAGGAAGAAGAGTTCATGTTCGTGTGCAACCTCCAGTGCAAGGTGCTGAACGTCAACCCTGTAATTTGGTGTGTGTGATTGACATTTCTGGATCTATGGCTTCAGATGCTGAGGAGACTTCCAAGGATCCCTCAACTGAAAATGCTGGATTCTCTCGTTTAGATTTGGTAAAACATTCTGTAAGAACATTTATCGAAGTCATGAATGATAAGGATTGTTTAGCATTGATTCCTTTCAGTGATAAGGCGAGAATTGATCTCTCACTCACTAAAATGACAGCCTACGGAAAGAAGAAAGCCATTGACAAGTTGGAAAAGATGCAACCTGAAGGTTCTACCAATGTGTGGGATGGTGTGAGATGTGCCTTGGAAATGTGTAAGGATTCTCCTCTCTGTACTCAAACCAATACTTGTGTCATTTTGTTCACCGATGGAGAGAGTAATATTAATCCACCTCGTGGAATTATTCCATCTTTGGAAAAGCATATTAGGGAAAATCCATTGAATTCTACCATTCACTCGTTTGGATTTGGTTACAGTTTAGATTCCAAGTTGTTGACAGATATTGCATTGCATGGCTCTGGTTTTTATTCATACATTCCTGACTGCACCATGGTGGGCACTGTTTTTGTAAACTTATTGAGCAATGTTCTCTCGACTGTCATTCGAAGAGCCGATTTGGTGTTGACTCCTCTCAATGGTGCCAAAATTAAGCATGTTTATGGTAGCTCACTCAATGCTCATGGCAATGCAAAGAATGACTCGGAATCAATTGTCATTTCAATGGGTGGTATTCAATTTGAGCAAACTCGTGACTACATTTTGGATGTCGTTCCACAAGATCTCAATGCTCCATGTCTCAAGGCAGAACTCAAATTTAACTCTCAAACCATTGAAAAAATAGATTCTCCAACAGAAGTCATGTCTCTACAAGAGTTGAATGAACTCAATGTACAATATTCAAGATTATTATTTATTGACAGTGTCGAGAAGGGTATTGTATTAGCCAATAAGGGATCGGTCGATGGTGCCACAAAGGTCATGAAAGACTTTTTGAAACAAATTCAAGATTTACCATCACATTCAGACGAACGTGTCAAGTCCCTCATACGTGACATTGAAAGTGATAATCAAAATGAAGGACAAGTGACACAAGCTTTCTCGAGATCTGATTGGTTCCAAAAATGGGGTCGACACTATTTGCCAAGTCTTTTAAGAGCAAACTGGATGCAAACTTGTCACAACTTTAAAGATCCTAGTGTTCAGGTTTATGGTGGAGCTCTCTTCAAGTCCCTCCAAAATGTGGCTGATGACATTTTCTGTAAACTTCCTCCACCAAAAGCATCCAATAAGAGCAGATACGATCCTTATTCTGGTACCTATACCTCTTCAAGCTACACCCCAGTCAACATGAGTGCGTATTATAACGCTGGTGGAAGTTGTTTTGATGGAGATTCTCAAGTCCTTCTTGCCGATAACTCTTTGAAGAAGGCGAGAGACATCAAAAAAGGAGACAAGCTCAAGAACATGAATGATAACGATCCTGTCACAGTGTTGTGTGTTTTGAAATCAAAAACACCTTCAGCTCAAGTCCAATTGTGTGATTTGAATGGAATGAAAATTACTCCATACCATCCTGTACGTGTGAACGGTGAATGGAGGTTCCCAATCGATATTACCACTCCTGAAAATGTCACTTGTGACTATGTGTATAATTTAGTGGTTGATCAAGGTCATGTGGTCAACATTAATGGCGTGGAATGTATTACTCTGGGACATGGTTTCTCTGACAACTCTGTGATTAGTCATCCTTACTTTGGTACCCAAAAGATTATTGAAGATTTGAGAAATATGAAAGGTTTTAATGATGGTATTGTGGAAATGACCAAGTACAATATTGTGAGAGATCCTAATACTGGAAAGATTTCATCATTGTCTTTGGTGGAATAGTGAATCTATTGGATTCGGTATTTGATTACTCTCATCAATGATATAGTGACTTATTAAACGTGACATTTTAAAACATGAGCAATGTTTGAATTTTTGAAAGTGAAGTGTGCACAAAGATTATTATGTTGTTGGGTCGTATGACTCCTTTTGCATCCTTTGTGATCTACCTCAAATAATTTACAATTCAGAATCAAAATCAAGGTTACACCTCCAAGATTTACCACAACAATCCTGAACGCTGAATTCCATACCATACCTTTTATGTCAAATCTGCGCTCTTTCCATTCTTTATTGATGAGAAGATTAGACGTGGCTATTTCTCAATCGAAAAAATGCCACTTCCACCACGACGACCACTCACACCCAAGAGGTATTCTCCAGCAACTACCACCATTGGAGGAAAGGTTATGAGATCATGGGAGCAGGTGTTGATTCAACCGTTTGGCAAGCAATACGTGATGATCAAAGAAGAAGAAACGATCAAGAATACCATACGAAATGATGATACTGAGGAACACGATCGTTGTGGTACCTCTGGTTCAGGTAAAACATTCTTTTCAATCTATGAGATTTCAGATCTGAATGATATTCGTTGTTATCCCTTGTTTGAGCTCGATCAAAAAGATCTTCATTTCTCTTCGTCAAGTTCCAACACGGAAAGAGGAATAGCCAATGCTTTAGAGAATGTTAGAATCGATTGGGAGACTTCTCTTCTTGGAAACAACTCTTCTTCGAACAAGAATGAATGTCGAGCTTTTGCTGAGATGTCAAAAGCTGTCTCAAAGAATCGTCATGTGTTCGAGAAGTGCACCTTGAAAGATTTTCCAACACTTATTGAAAAAGATGTCCCAGAAAAAACATGCGACGACTATGGATTTGTGTGTTTTGTGGGAGGAAGAGCCTTATTTATTGAATCACACACAGGTTATTCAGTTCCCAAAATAGAAATTGTGAATGCTTCCAGTAGTCAAGGAAAAGAAATGATGTTGGAACCTTTGAGAGGTTTTCAAATTCCTTACACAGAAAATCCCAATGATGACACTGTTCCTAAAAGATTTGAAAAAAGTTATCATCTTATCGTACCATGTGAAAATATCAAAGAAACCAAACATGCTCTGAATGCAATACTTTTTGGAGGGATGGTGTATCGTTACGATTTGAGTAGAAGAGAATTTGACATTTCGAGCCCCATTGCATTTAGAGATGAAACATGGACGAGAGGTTTCTCCTTCAAGACAGATGTTAAAGCTCGATTTTTTCCATATTTAGAAAACGGCACAAGATTGAGAAGTTTTGTGTTGCAGAACGGAAAATTGTTTGAATTCATATGGATACATCACGAAGAGAATATCTTATCGATTGCAGTCATTCAACATTTGGAATGGTTGACAACTGACATTTCCAATATCCTTCGATGCGATTCCATTGGTTTACTCATTCAAACCAAAGACAAATGCCTTCTCTACCAACCAGAACCCTTTTCTCAAAATTCTCTCTTTTCCAAATCACAAGGAAAGATCTACACACTCAAAACCATCGACTCGCATACTCCTTTGTTTTGGAGTGAAACGTCAAAATGCATTTCCACATTTGTTCATGATGACCAAACACAACAGGCAACTCATTCTTCATTGTTTGTACCTCTTCTTTCATGGAATGAGATTGAAAAGCTTCCCTATCAATTGGTAAAGGATATTTTTGACGAACAAGCATTTAAGAGTGATTTAGAGTTTTCCACTTTTGAACAAGAAATGAAACCAAAAATGGTGAACTTGGAACTTTTAGAAAAAGTCACAGATTTGGAAGAAAAATTTGGAAAACATTTTCGAATTGCTTGTGGTTATCAATGTCCTTTGGACAAGTATAATGAAATGGAGATTATTGCAGGAATTGGGTAAGTGTGAGTGTTTTATTATTCGTCATTGTTCAATATATTCATTATTATATTATAATATATTATTATCTTTAAAATATATTCATCTCTCTCAAAGATGTTTAAGAATGAAAGATCAATTGGGAGAAGCATTGAGTCCCAATTACATTGAACTTCAACCAGAAGAATTTAGTCAATACTTGGGTGCACCCATCATGTACAATGAATGGCTAAACAACGATCGAATCAATCGAATGTGTTATCGTTACTTTATCACCGACATGAAACATTGTATAAAGTCCTCTGGAATTATTAAGATTGCAAATGCTGAGAGGGGCAGTTTTGGAACCTCGTCCATTGATTTGTTAGAAATTTATGAAAATCCAAAAATATTTATTGGAATTCTCATTCCAAAAATCAATGCAATGGACAACAAGGATGACGCAACAGCAATCGAGTCGCAAGAGAACTCTCAAAAATTGGCACTTTGTGAAAAACAAAGACAAGAATTTGAAACTCTCTGCTCTCAACAACTCTTTCAAGTTGAAAGCAAGTCATTGAAAGTGTGTGATCCATTGATTGATCCTTCAGGAGCACTGATTGAGAATGTGAAACCAGGAGTATGGAAATGGATTCAATATTCACCTTCAACAGACAACGAGAGAGAACAAGAGATGAATCCACAAAAGGAAATGAACAAAGAAGATGAAGAATCTCATTCAGAGAATGAAATGTCCTTGACAGAGCCCTTCGAACATATGAATTATGACTATTCACTTGTCCATCAATTAGCTGTGATTCATCAAGATTTTGTGGACTCACTTCTGACCTCAAATCCTGAACAATTTTGGAAAGTTCCAAAATCCATCTTTCAAGAGGAAGAACATGAACAGGATGAGAATTCTCTTATTGAAGAAACCGACTCTCTCAAACCAAGTGATTTTAAACCACAAGAACACGAAGGAGGTTGGTACCTCATGACATGTGGCATCGATGTGGACACCGGAATGGCTGGAATTTACGACGCGCACTATTTCAATAAGGAATCCGTGTTGAAGGATTTTAATCTCGTGAACTCTCGAAAATTGTCCACTTTGGAACAACATTTCTCCTTTAAAACGGAGAATGATTGGCAAAGTTATGTCATTGAATGTGCCGAGAAGAGATCACACGGCAATTACATTCCAGTACCTTTTGGAATAATTTCTTCTTCTGGATATGGTGATGGATGTTATGCGTGTTTGTTTAAGAGAGATTCAGTATCACAACAAGTAGTTGCAGTTCGAGTGATTTTCATTGCTCATGAATTTGAATCACAAGGAAATGACAATCAAGACAATGATGGAATGAATGAAATGGAACCTGAATCTGCTGCTGAATTCAGCACTTCAGAGCATTCCGAAATGCAAGAGAGTGAAGACGAGGAGGAGGAGGTTGAGTGAGCAATTCTTTAACGAGAGGAAACTTGATGGAAAGTCAGTGG